TTATTTTGAATAATATTGGTAGAGTCTGTATGTGCTCTCATATGCTTCCATGTATTGTGTGTGCAGAAAGCAGTATCTTGACCCTGTGTGACACGGATGCTCTCTAAAATATAGACTCTCTGTGAGGAAGATATATATATATATATATATATATATATATATATATATATATATATATATATATATATATATATATATATATGTATGTATTTATGTGTACATACATACATATACATACACACACACATATATATATGTATGTATATATACATACATACATATATATATATATATATACATATATATATATGTATGTATTTATATATATATACATATATATATGTATATATATATATATATGTATATATATGTATGTATACATATACATATAATGGCTGATCTTCCAAAGAAAAGTGGATGAGGTGTTGTTTTCGACACATTTTCTTCACCTTAACACCCCATCATTCTTTTAGTCATATTATGCTTGTCAATAAATTGTTTTATGTCAACAGATTAACCTCCTAAAAGATTGTATGGCATTCTTTTCTTTTATTGATTGGAGGTCAGATGAATTCATCCTTATTTATGTTTGTGCCTGGGCCTGACACATGTAACTCCTTTTGCTCACTGTACAATGGTTTAATATTACTTATGAATTTTGATTCTGGTTTACTTGTGTAAAATGTTATATACCTTATCTGTTTTCTGATGTCCTTTTGTGCATTCCATGTTGTTGATGAACTCCTATCCTGGACTACTTTCCTGCGATACATATTGGCATGCATGTTTTTTTCCCATTGTCAATACTTTGCTGGCAAAGTCTATACTGTTTCATGAAGGTGATTTTGATCTGCTTTACTGGCAGTTGATTCACCAGCCCCGGTTTCTTTCTATATATTCTTTATAATAGTACTCTTTAGTGAAGTAATACAAGCTGTGTAGCATCATTTTGTGGATTTGCTTAATCCCAAATTTCATGGTCAGTTATGATAATTTCTTTTATTTTCTGGAAACCTATTGCGGCTGGTAAACAATATGCCATTTTTCACCTGATTTGTTTTCTGCAGGAAGGAGCAGAGGAAGAGGTATATCAGCCTGAAATTTCAAGAGACAGTTGAGTGGTGCGGGCATAAGGTTTATAACAGCTGACCAAGAGGAAATGGTAACCTCCAGCAGGTTCCGCACCAGCAAAGGGGCATCATAGATATTTAGTATGTTGGTGCAGGCATATACCAATATCTTTCTTCTCTGTTCATCAAAAGTTTCAGTGAGGTTCTTGATCTCTCCTTTTATAAAAGACTAATTTTGTGGTACAATTTGATTAGATAGTATAGAAGCATCTCAATGTTCCAATGTTTTTGCTTTAGCTAACTATCTTCTCTTTCCTTTTTTTTTGTTTATCAAAAGGTGAGGACTTATGCAGTAAAACCAGTAGATTAAGGGGGCCTAAGGAGGTACTCGACTGCATGCTTTATCAACTGTAACATTATTTTGATGCAAAATATGCATCTTTGGCGATTTCTTGGGTGATGTATAGGCTGGGTGGTCTTTGAGCACTCCCTGATGCCTTCCATAATCGAGGCATTCTTGGGTGATTGGCTCATTGAATATTCTGCTGTTTGATGCCAGCAGTGTCGGTGGCTTGATTGGTATCTACAGATATCTAGACATGCATATAGTTCCCATTCAATTTTTTTCGTGTGAAACTTAATAAGAATAAATGGCAGGACTCGCTTTCATTCTTGTATTGCCTTATTAATGATTGTGCTATGTGTGACAAAACATCTCCCGGAGTTGTCTTGTTCTGCATGTTCAAAGATGTCCTATATAGCTTGGTTGCATGAGTTGTTGGCTATTGACGGGTTCGGAGCGAGTCTGGGATTTTGGGTGCTTGTGTTTTATTTCGTTTTTAACAGCCTAGTGTCTTTTGTTTTTCTCTTTGCAAAGGATAACAACTCGAGCTCAGGACTTAATTATTTTTACTCGCTTAGTTCTTCTAAACCATTTTTCCAAGTCCTGCTATTTTGGAAAATAAATAAGATGTGTGAATTGATCTCAAATAAATGATCGAGTAATGTTGGTACAGCTTTAAGTTAACACGGAGATATATACGGAAGTCAATTGCTTACACTTTAATCGTATGAAGAGTCTTAGTGAATGCTTGATATGAGCTTTTTGTGGAATTATTTGGTAGCTAATCTTTCTCATAGAAACTCGAAAAATCCCTACGGTGATTTGTTTTCTTTTTTTTCTCCTGCAGTTCTACCAAAATTAGCGTCTCCAAACTGATACGCTCCCGGGAGAGGCAGAGGCGGCCGCCGAGGAAACGGGAGGCGAAAGTTATAGTGGCGACGTCGGGGATGCAGAAGAAGAGGCGGCGGCAACGGCTTGGCGATGCTGTAACAGTCTGGATATCAATCCGGTGATCGGCACCGCCCTGGTTGATGCATAAGGTAAATCTGGTTCTGCCCCTGCTGCCGGGATTCTGTTTGATGAATTGACAATGGATTCCTATCTTGTCACGTGAAATGCAATGTCAGGCGCGTACACCATACAGCGTGATACTTCCAGAGGACGATCGAACTGTGCGACCTCTTTTATTGCGGTGCTGACTACCTGTGGCGATGCTGGATGGGCGGACGAGGCCGATATAATTACGTTGATATGATGGTATGTGCTCAAGCTTGGCTGGTACGTTGTCCACTATATATATATATACATATTATTCGTCGGTGTCGAAAAGGGTCGAGTCGCTGAGAAGTCGACAGAGCGGAGGGACCGGGGGGGAGCACAGGAGGGCAGTGGGAAGCGTTGGATAGAAGCCACGAGGAGGAGCATGTCTTTATTGAAGGACACAATAAGCAAGGCAGAGATTCATGTTTCTTCCCATCGTTCACACCCCACATTCACAACACTCCATTTTTCCCAGTTCTCCTACGTCTTTTGACTGGTTTCCAAGGGTCTGGTAAAACTAAACTATTATATGAAAAGAAGATGACTGGTATGTATAACTGGCAACTGGCAATTCCCTAGTCAAAAGTTCGACACAGTACTAGAAAATGTCCCGAGTATCCTCCGCCAAGCACTTATTTCAAAGCGAAAGTTGTTGAAGAGAAAAGGTAACCCACTACATCTTCCTTCGCTTAAAGGTAACTGAGAAGGAGAAGATTAGAATAAGAGCAAAAAGTAGGCGAAAGATGCACAAGAGGGACATTCCTTGACAGAGATCGAGGGAGAGGGACGAGAGGGAGAGAGTGTGCGAGAGAAGGGAAACCCTGGTAGATGGGCATTTCTGGAGCCCAACACCAACACCACCGCCACCGCCACTCCCTTTCTCCTCCCCAAATCTCTAAAACCCCATTTCCACTCCTTGCCATAACCCTAACACTTCTGTCTCTTCTCTTCCTCTTCCCCGCCGTCGCGGGTGACCTCTACTCCCTGGTCTACAAGGGCTGCGCCAACCAGACCCTCTCGGGTAGTGGTTCCGCATACATGCAGCCCCTCGCCGCACTCTCCTCCGCCCTCACCGCCCGGGCCGCCTCCGCCAAGTTCTACAAAACCACCACCTCCTTGGCCGGCGGCGGCCAGCCCCTCTTCGGCCTCTTCCAATGCCGCGGCGACCTCCCCCCCTCGGACTGCTCCGCCTGCGTAGGCCGAGTCCTCCTCATGTGGGCGTCCCTCTGCGGCACTGCCGCCGCCGCCCGAGTCCAGCTCAACGGGTGCTACGCTCTCTACCAGGCCTCCGGCTTCCCCCAGGTCTCCGGCACCCAGATGCTCTACAAGACCTGCGGTTCCGGGCGGGGCGGTGGCGGCTTCGAGGTGAAGCGCGACACGGCCTTCGCCCAGCTCCAGAGCGGCGTCGCCGGCGGCCAGGGGTTCTTCGCCACCAGCTACGCGTCCGTATACGCTATGGCGCAGTGCGAGGGAGACCTCTCCGCCGGCGACTGCAGCGAGTGCGTCGCCCAGGCGGTTCAGAAGTCGGAGGTGGAGTGCGGCGGCGCCGCCTCCGGCCAGGTGTACCTCGACAAGTGCTACATCAGCTACAGCTATTACGCCAATGGCGTACCTCACGGCGACAACAACAGCGGCGGAGGAGGTGAATGCTCTCTTTATTCCCTTGCACTTCTTTTATATGAGATGCGGTTCGAAGTTTCCTTTATTCATTCCCTTTTGATTTGGTCATTATATAATTCCAACTTCGTCTTTCCATTCCTTTAATTATGCAAAGTGAGGTTTGTAATGCTTCGATGTCGCATTGCATCTGATTACTTATTTGCTTTCTTTTGATATATCATCTTCTACATATTTGCTTCATTTTCTCGGGAATCAGGGCAAACAGAGAAGACAGTGGCCATAGTGGTGGGAGGGGCAGCAGGGGTTGGGTTCTTGGTGATCTGCTTGCTGTTTGCCAGGAGTGTACTGAAGAAGAGAGATGGTGAGGGTCACCATGAAGAAATAAATAGGTTCTTTTACCTGTCATGTTGCCTTCTTTACATGTGTCTAAGGAGTAACTTCTCTTGGTTTTAACAATCAATTGCAGATTATTGAAGGTTGGTGTGGTGACTGGTAAGTGGCGGGGCAGTAATAGAGGAGTAATTGAAGGGAGATGGAGTTTGGAGAGGGGATCGTGTCCTTGTAAAGGGTTGGGCTTCACAGAGGAGGGAAAGGATGTTTGTACATTGGGAATGGATTCGTGGCTGGAGCACAGAGCGGTCCTTTGGCTGTTTCCTTCTATATGCGTTTCATCCATCATGTCAGAGAGGGGGAGGGAATACTGGATGTCGGGTCCAATCTGCTCTCACTGTGGGGAGATGCACCTCTCTTCTTTTTCAATCATCATCATGTATATCTGTCCCTACATAGAGGGATGGAAGTGTATACAGAGATTCAAGGGATTATTTTTGACACAAGACATTCTCGAGTAAATTTTGCAGAATCCCTTTCTACTTGTTTCAGGGCTTTAATATAGTGGGCAAAACTTTTGGATCATACCAATCAGCATTGAAAGGTCAGTCACAGGATTATACTCTTTTAGAGCTTTGTATAGCGACAACAGTGGTCATGATAATTTGTTTGAGTAGATTGCTATTACAGCTTGCAGTAAGTTTTCATTGGTTTCTTGTATCAGAACCCTTGATGAGTATGTTCTGCTTCCTCCATTATAATTCTATTATTTGTAAATTTTTGTAGTTCTTTCTCTTCCATTTAATTTTGCTTATCAGTTTTAGACAGGTATCAGTTTCCACATAGACGGAATAGAAGAAGAAATATAATTTGATTATGTTACAAATTCCTCAATATTATTTGTTGAGTGATAAGGAATACATTAATAGTCAATCATCATCCGACACGGAAGCATCATGTGGAAGTTGTCGTGGAAGGAAAGGGAACCAGGTTACTCTCGCCCATCTGCCTACGTGGACAAAAGTTCAAGACAAATTGGGGCCGTCTCTCCTCTATTGTCCATGTAAATAAAATATCAATGAGGGGATAATGAGGTAATTACGGGTTGTCATCTCCAAGGCGTGGTATATAAGGTAGTCCTCGGCATTATGCTAGAGGGCTATCTTCTCGAAAAAAAAATCGATACCCATTAAGTCTTCGGTAACTAACTTAAATGTCAGAGAGATAAAATCGAGAAACTTCTTCTGACATCAATCTTAGTGTCGGTGATGTCTTGGGAGCTCGATGTCCTATCTTGGAGTCACCTCAAACACTCTTACACCTTCAAGTTTGGATCATATCGGATTAACTCAGATGTCAACGATGATTTCCCTCAATATTTTGGTGCTAGAATGGGGGCTTAATATCGCAGGAACGTCCACTTGTCACTCCTCTTTAACGAATGCTCCAATGAGGAGGCCTTGTCTCCAACCCACATCACTTTTACTTAAGGTAGACATCTTCCATCTTTCTTTCACGTGGATGCGTCCACTTTGGTGCAAACATTGGTGCGATACTAGCGTCTATTCAGTAATTTAGGCCTTTCACCTTCGGGGATGACCTTAAGCCACTTGTTCCCACCGAGGCGTTTTTGAACCTCACTTAACAAACAATGCCACTATCTCAACTACGATCAGTACCTTAATCGTCATTGGCTCTAGCGCTCGTTGGGATTCCCTTGCTCGACACGGTGCCAACATCTTAGGATTGCCAAAAGCTTGTGAAATCATTGATTGAGGGAGCGCCTCACTCCCTAATCATGGAATTCAACACATCGTCGTACCATCGCTCCACTATGTCTAAATCCGAGACTCAATCAGTAGATTTGATGGATGACTCCCTGAGGGTCCAATTGTGACAAAAATTGACGAACACCTAGAAAATATACAGTAAGAGTTCTAGTAACCTCGAGGGGAAAGGCCGGACGACCCCACCTCGAGTTGGTTCCCATTCACCCAAAACATCTAGGAGTCAATCCCCCATCGCTAGAGGCTTTTGACAGTAATACCGACTCGATATAGCACATTGTTACCTTTCGTGCCTAGATGTCACTGTATGGTACCTCAGATGCCCTGATGTGTCGTGCCTTCTATATAATATTAAGAGACTCGACACAAGAATGATATGCTAGTCATAGGTGCCCTATAAGCTAATCACGTGAGTGATAACATGTGTGACATGACATGATATCACGTGATAGCGTCTATTTGGTATTTTTCTCACTTTATATTGTCTGTTATATATATTATGTTATCCATGAATTTATGTAATGAGAATCAGATTGTGATGAGATTACGATAATGAGACAGATTTATCTTTAAACACAGATCCTAAATAATCATGGTCATATGTTACTCGAGAGGGACATCGAGATAACCGGACAGACTGATGTGTTGTATACCCATCTATATGATGGAGGTAGTTGGTCTCATAACTTCTCGTGTGGGGACACTAGGAATACAGTGTAGGTGCTCATTTGAGAATGAGTTCACTGATTGATCCGCTCATTGAATGTTGAATGGTTGATGATACCTCATTTTCAGATAATGATTTTGTCATCCTAGTAGTGTACCTAGTCCTTAAACTTGAGACACCAAGGATGTTCTATATAAGTACTCCACTTTTTGATACCAGACTTTACGAGGGCTATTGAGTGTCGATAGAGGAGCATCCGCTCTCGATGTCATAAGAGGAATATCTCATATGTTTTTGCTCAAGTAAATCCCTGCCAAGGTCATTCGGATTAAGAAAGAAAGAGTTCCCTGGGAGAATCCGATTAGAGTGAGACTCAAGTAGAAATCGTATGGGCCTGACAGCACCATGCTCGGTATACAATATCTAGGATATTAGATGGATGAGTGACTATAGGTATACGGTAACTGAGAATAGATATGTCCAAATGATTGGATTCCTCTATATTGTCTAGGGACTATGATATAGGTACATAGTACGTCTATAGTCAATAAGTCGAGTGAATTATTATTGAGATAATAATTCACTGAGCCAAAAGAAGTTCCAACATGTATGACTCATAACCAACTCGATACTGGGCCTAAAGGATCACACATATATGATAGGTGTTGTGACGAGTAGATGTTCGGATATGAGATATCTATTGAAGCTCATATCTTATTGGATCATATGGATGAGATCTAATAAGAGCCATCGAGAGATTATTGGGTAGAGATCTACTAATCTAAGAGACTTGGGTAGTTGGATAGAGATATAGTACTTAAATAGGGCAGGATCCATTATAATTAAGTTGATAGGGGACCTTTATAAATAGGAGGGAACCAAAGGGCCATAGGTTAGGGTTTTTTGGCCGTCACCTCTTCTCCCCCTCACCTCTTCAACCAACAACCCCTTTTTGGGGCATGTGGATAACAAGAAGGGTTGCCCCCTTCTTGATTACATGGTGCGCGCGAAGAGGAGATTTTTACGGTGATTTAAAGAGTATTTTCGTAGCCCTTGCTATGTTGATCACCAGTAGAGAGGAGGATGCTAGACCTCCTTCATGTGGATAGGAAGAAGGGTCGCCCCCTTCTTGATTGCATGGTGCACACGAAGAGAAGATTGTTACAGCGATTTGATGAGTATCTTCGTAGCCTTTACTATGTGGATCACCAGTAGAAAGGAGGACGCTTGACCTCCTTCATCCTCTCTCATAAATATGCAGGAATTTAGGGATATACGATCTATCTAGGTAACACAACTTTCTTATACGCGTAGTTTTTTGATTTCGCGGGTTTTTGCATATCAATCTTTGTATGATGACAAGAAACCTTTTTTCTGTAGGAAATTTAAGCTTTTTATTTTTTTGTTCTTCCATTACGCATGTGATGTCGACCCAGATTTCCCAACATGACACACTTGCTTGAAGCCCCTCTTGGTCGATTCTTTTACTCAGCTCACAATGGAGTTGGAGCTTTACTTTCTCAGAAATGTGTGCTTGAGACAATCGGTAGCGATGCATCTCGGACTCAGGCAATAAGACGAAGAAACACTCTCTGACTTTGTTGCTCGATTCGCTAACGAGATTTGAAGCATATAAGAAGCTCATTCGTCTCTCATTATATAGGCCTTCTTGATGGGGCTCAAGCCCTCTCACTTTTTTTGGTTATTGGTAAATAGACCACCGGTAAGGTGCCTGAGGTGCTCCATAGGGCCAACTAATATATTGCCACAGAGGCAATGGTCTCAAGTAAGTGCGAGGAGATGCACAAAAGACCAAGACATGAGCAATTACCGTCAGCTCTGAGGTCACCACAACGAAGAAGAAATGATCGACCCGAGTTACCTCGCTTGAGGTCAAGTCGACTCCTTTAAACATAACTAAAACCAAAGTCTTTTTGCAGATAAACGAAAAAGGGCTCTTGAAAGATCCTCAGCCGATGAAGTGCTAGTCATAGGTGCCCTACAAGCTAATCATGTGATTGATTGATGGCATGTGTGACTTGACACATAGTCTCTTTGCTTGTTATTATTATTTGACATTTTATCACTTTATATTGTCTATTGCTTGAATATATTGTGATATCCATGGATCTATGCAATGAGAATCAGATCGTGATGAGATCACGATAATGGGATCGATTTACCTTTAAACACAGATCCTAAATAATCCCGGTCATATGTTACTCGAGAGGGACATCGAGATAACCGGACACAGATCCGTTGGAGCCCATATCATATTAGATATCCAATAACCGATAAATTATTAGATCCTATGGATGAGATCCAATAAGAGCTAATGAGGGATTATTGGGTAGAGACTCACTAATCTAAGAGGCTTGGGTAGTTGGATGAAGATCCAATACCCAATATGACATGATTCATTAGGGTTTAGTTGATAGGGGACCTCTATAAATAGGAGGAACCAAAGGACCATGAGCTAGGCTTTTTGGCTGCCACCTCATATTCTCCTCTCCCCTTCTCCTCCTCAACCTGTAACCCCTATTTGGGGTGTGTGGACAACAAGAAGGGGCGGCCCCTTATTGATTGTGTAGTGCGCACGAAGAAGAGATTTGAGCAGCGATTTAAGGAGCATCTTTGCAGCCCTTGTCATTATCTCCTATAGATCTGCAGGTTTTCAGGGATATACGATCTCCCTAAGTAACACATCTTTCTTATACATATAGTTTTCAATTTCCTAGGTTTTTATGCACTAATCTTTGTACGACGATAAAATATTATGTGGAAATCTAAGATTTTTATTTTTGTTCTCCTATTGCGCATGTGATGTCACCCCTAGATTTCCCAACACTGAGAAGCAACCCAAGGGAGTCGTGTTAGTGCTCTCTAACGACGATCTCCTTACCGAAGAGGGCTCGGCCGGAGACATAATCGATGGACCGCTAGAATTATGCAAAGTCCCTCTCACATCCGGAGATGATAGAGCTGCTAATTGAAGCACCTCTGGACAAAGCCCGTCTCGATTAGGTTATAAAGGTCAGGGTGACACTTTTCGAGGAGAAATGAGTGCAACTCATCAACTTTCTCAAGGAGAGTGCCGAAGTGTTTGCATGGTCACCGAGAGACATGTCGTGAATCGACCTAGACGTGGCCCATTACTGCCTGAACATCTCCCTCGAGGCTCGACCGGTGATGCAAAAGCCTTACAAGTTTGCTCCTGATCGCTAGCAAGCGATTAGTGATGAAGTAACTAAGTTGCTAGGCGTGGGGTTTATTACCGAGGTGCAGTACCCCTAGAGGCTAGCTAATATTGTACTAGTTAAAAAGTCTACGGAAATTAAAGGATGTGTGTTGATTATACCGATCTCAACAAGGAATGTCCGAAGGATAGCTATTCTCTCCCCTGGATCGATTAGCTGGTTGATACTATCTTGGGCCACGAGCTCCTCACCTTCATGGATGTATTCTCGGGATATAATCAAATAAGGATGGTACCATAGGATCGGGAACACCTCTTTTATCACCAACCAAGGCATATATTGCTATTGTGTCATGTCATTTGGGTTGAAAAACGGGGATACAACATATCATAGGATAGTGAACAAGATGTTCAAGTACTAGATCGGGAGAAACATCGAGGTCTATGTGAATGACATGATTGTTAAAAGCAAAATGACAGATTCATATCTAACGAACTTGGTCGAGATATTTGAAGTTATAAAGAGATTCAGCATGCGTCTAAACCCATCCAAATGTGCTTTCAGAGTTAGTTCGAGAAAATTCTTCGGATTGTTGTAGATTCAGCATGCGTCTAAACCCTTCTTCGAAGAATCCAAAGGACTTTCTATGGACCAATGAATGTCAAGAGGCATTCGAAGAGCTAAAGCACCTCCTCACCCAATTATTGTAGCTCTCCTCCTCCACATCGGGGGAAACTCTAAGCCTTTTATCTTGCTAACACCGAGTAGGCTATCAGCTTGGTGTTGGTGCATGACGATTCGTGCATGAATGGTGTTGCATCGCTCTGCCTCACATGCCTCCTCTTCGTCCCTCCTCATCATCGACAACGCATGTCTCACTTACCTCCTCTTCCTCATCTGACGCAAATGTAAATGTAGAGCGATGCCGGAGGAGGAAGAAGACGCAGAGCAATGCAACGTCGACGCAGATGTCTCACCTCCCTTCTCTTCCTCTTTCGTCGTAGATATCTCACCGTTCTACCTCCTCTTTATCCTCGTCATCAATGTTCAAGATCGACTACCATGTCATTATCATCGACCACCATCACAACAACCTCTCACAGCATCACTATCCATCACCACCACTGAAATTATTATCATGTCATCGATGCACATACTATCATGTTGTATCTTTAATCAACTTTACCGATAACATTAGGAGAAATGAATTTAAATATTTTACTCTTATAACTATAAATTTCAATATAAATTTTTAAAATCTAAATATCTTAATGCTAAATAAATCTGACTAAAAAAATAATATATAATTAACCCATCACTATTATTAAAATTATCTTTTTTTTCATCATTTGCATTCCATTCATATTGTCACATACTATATCTTCTATCAATAAAATCGATATTAGAATAAATATGATTATATATATATAAAGTTTAAAAATTAAGATAAAAAGATCTAAACAATTCAAGCACACATCGGCAATGATTCCCAGAATACAACCTGACCCTATACCAAACCAGCAGCCCCAGACTTATCAAGTCTCCAAGGAACTTACAGAAAATTGGTCTTTCAGCATCATCAACACCATCTAATTGCCCGGCAAACAGTTCAGGAAATTACGGCATCGGTCATTAAGATCTGACATTGACGTGGGTTACAAGCATCCAACAGAAGACATGATGGGTTAATATGATCACGGGCACTCTCGACCACAAGCACAATCTATGTCACCCTATGATCGCATCTTTAAATAACACAGTTACAACTTACACACCATATGATCATAGGCAATCTCTAACAACAAGACTCTAGCACTCGCCCTTGATCCTGACAGCCACCAGACACCAGTGGAACGGCTATCAACCTTAAAAGTTAGCTTGAATGCTCCGACTCAAAACAAACAATACAATTTGGCATAATTTCATTGTTGGAATCGGAGTATCGCCCACCAGCAGGTGTCAATTTACTTGCATTCGAGGACTCTTTGAGTAGTGTTGATGACAGTGAGCAAACGTTTGACAGTTTGCTCCTAAATACCAGAAAATGCTGCTGCAGGCAAAACTCATTTGACAGTAACAGAGTTTTAGCAACTTTGTTCATTAATGATTTGGATATTTTGGCTCGTCATTAATGATCTGGGGATTTTGGCTCCTCTGATTCATCCCCCGGGAGTCCAAATATCCGGAGATTTCGGTCCATGGAACCTACTGCCATGTATTTTGCATCCGCTCCAAACTTCACACACGACACTTTCCCTGGATATTGAGTAGAAATATTGAGTAGGATCGATAGAGAACACATCACATTAGACAGGAAGGAGAAGTTACGCTAGTTAATAAATAGGCTGCATGACATTGTGCATAGCAGCAGTGATCTGCACCTGTTCCAGATAAATCAGGCAATATCTTGATAAGATTCCACTCGAGCTTCACATTAGCAACTTGGTACACCCTGCAAAGAGCATTTAAAAGAACAGATTAACACTTCAATTTGCACTGAACATATGCTATAGAAAATTCGCTAGACTGACACAGATACTGCTGGAACTTTTGGAAAGGGGCAACCATATCCACTGTAACATATTTATTGACAATTATCACGAATGTCATGTCATCATCCAGAGGGTTATACTACAACATACCTTACATCAGAGCCCGCAATAGCAAGATAGCTCCCACTTAAGTCAAACTCCACTGCAACAAAAACATGATTTCTGAATCAGCAATAACATCAAGACTTGTCAAGAAACAGGCAATGGTTTGATATATTTCTATCTAAACCAATGAAGCGTCAAATCCAATGACATCAACTTAACCATTTTTGAAGTAAATAGCATAGCAATTGAAAAGCATATCTTCCATGAAGAATCAAGGAAACAACAATTGCATCACTAGCAGTATGATGGAACTTTTGACATGCTACACTGGCAATAACATTCACAGTTAAAATTTAAATTCAGATACAAGAGGATAAAATCATGGAATGGCAGAAGCAAATTGTAGTTGTTCCAATCCACGATATTTTTTTCAAAAAGAGAAATTTTATTGATTATGCGTTTGGAAGATAAGATGAAACAAAATTTGGAAGCAGTGTAGTTGAAAGCGCTAGGCGCCAAAAGATGCCACAGTCCCAAAATTAGAGGTGTTCAAATTGAACCAAAAAACCAAACATGAATTGAAACGGTTCATCAATAATTCAATTTGAAGGCTAGAAATGGTTCTAGTTTGGGAGAGTATTCTTCTTTGGTTCGGTAAACTAGTTCGGACAGAAACGAACCTATTTTAATTAAAAAAAATACCAACTCAACCGAAAGGCCCTAAAAACCCTAAAATCCCTTCCCAAACTTGACGAGTTCACCACTCTTCATCTCTATGGCTCTTCCTCCTCGTCCCTTTCTTGGTCTTGCTCTCTTGTCTTAAGTATGAACCTTTTTTTTTGTCATCCCTCTTCGTTAACAATCCCTTTGTTAATTTGTATGAATTCCTTTGCTTCATATCTTCATCATTAAGAAAAAAGGGCTGCATGTGAAATCGTTATTCCTCTAGAGCATCTTTCAATATAAAAAATAAAAAATCGCTTGCACATAGGTCCAATTTTTTAGAATGCTTAGAATGATATTTGTGATATTAACTTTTTAAGGATGTAAGTCCAATTGGATCGAAATTCTAATTTGGTTCATTTAAACTGCACTAGTTCACTGTATCAAAACAGTTCATTTAAAATGTATATTTTTAAAATTACTTAAAATTGAAAACTGGATTAACCGGTTCAATTAGGTAGGTCCGAAACGAGTCTGGTTTGGAGTACCTCTCTTTAATCGAACTGAACCATTTTTTCAGTTTGGTTCGATTCAAACATCTTCGAACACCCTTACCTAAAATGCCCAAGGCGCTAGATGCTCAATCGAGCAAAATGAGGCATATTTCCGAATACTATAATTTAAAAATTATATATCATGATTAATAAAAATAAACTAAAACTAAAAATAGCACGCATACTTGCAGTCATTTAAAGTACCAAACTATATTGTTCACTACAGAATGCAGCTGTTGTTCTCAACTTATCTAGTGCACAACGATGTGCAACTTTATATGCACAAAGTTGTAACTTATGCATGCAGAGTACCTCATAATGTTGTTGAAACAACATCAGGTGTCCAATGAATTCATATGACCAACTTTATGTGGGAATGCTCAAATGCTATTTCCACTAAAAGCTTTCAACCCAATCAACAATAAGTAACAAACACTCATTGTGTGCATACTAGATTCTTGTAAAACCAAATTCCAAATCGATTACCATTGATTGGGCAGAAAATATAACCTCTAGAAATTTCATAGAAAAAATCTAAAACTCCAACATAAAAACATCCAAAGAAACAATTCCAAATACTCCAAATTTGACACATGAAAAATGAGGGAAGAGCAAGGAATGTCGGATGGTAGGAGGGCAACGGTGAACGGAGAAGAGGGGAAGAGGGATTGGGGAAGAGGGCAGGAGGTGGGTGGCTGCGGAGGACTACGTTGAACGTAGGAGGATTACGGTGAATTGGGCAGAGGTACGAGGGAGGGAGGAGAAAGGGATATACTTGGAGGGAAAAGAAGTCACTGTTGTTGCCGTATGAGGAAGACACTGCTGCTACTGTCGAAGGAAGATCTGTCGTTGCCGCTAGAGGAAGATGTCGTCGTTGCCGCGAGAGAAAGACGTTGCCACTACCGTTGCTGCCATCGTTCGCTGATGGGAGGAACTCCGCCGTTGTGAGAAATGTAGTGGGGAAAGGACATCTGCATTAGGCCACTTGCGGGTGGTGGTTTCTATAATAAATACCTGGTTCAATCGAACCAGATGAATGTTTTAGTTCGACTCAGGCTCGACCTAGCCTAAGTTGAACCAAGCGGGCGCTCGACCCGCCCAACGCCTGAGTCAAGTTGCCCACCCAGCCCAATAGGTGGGTGCCCGAGCCTCGCCTCCCGTCACCTGGGTGCCTAGGTGAGCGATCGGTGACTTCACTACTAAGGAGGATCAATATGTCTCAGGCAACGTTCCCGCCCCATGTTGCAACCAAGATTAGTAGGTTCCAAGTTCTTATCTTCCAAATGAGTAATCAATAGAAGTTTTCCCTTTTTGGAAAAAAAATAGTGAAATGGAACAACTACATTTGCTTTTGCTAACTTTTAGAGAGAAATTATAAATTAAAAAAATCTGCCAAAACGTATTTAGGCATTTTATGACTAAAAGTATAGATTGCCCACCATAGTTTGTAGGAGTCTCTGGATCATAGGGAGCAAAGGATCTGAAGTTCCTTAGCTTCCTAAGATCCCAAAGCTTCACACCATCCATAGCTGCAGTCTGATCAATAACAAAACTATACATCATAACAAGGCCATATGAACTTCTATAATTGTTTCAACTTTCAACATCTTAAAACGAACCCCATACCGCAAGGAAATAACCATTCTCGGAGAACGACATAGCTGTCACCGATCCCACATGCCCATCAAATTTTGCAACATTTGACTGCAAACATAATCACTATTATTAGCATCAGCAGGGGCAATTAAATTGTTCATGTCTCACAAGCTAACATCCTTCAAATTTGCCAATACTGTACCTGAGATTTGACATCCCAAATTTTAACAATAGCTCCAGTGGTGCCTGTTCCAAGGATGAGCCCATCAGGATGAAAGGAAGCTGAAGTGTAGCCCTCCTCCGTTGAAGCTTCGCCAACCTGCATAAGTATGCTCTCAGTTAACCCACATTTTAGCTGTATCTGCAAGTTTTGAGGGTGCATATGCTTGTGTACATGCGAAAATATGGCAGAAGGAAAGGACATGATGAGGAAAAGCAAAGAGAATGTGAGAAAAAGGAAGGATGAGTATTCGAATTACCTGAGTGAGGCATGATCCAGTTGAAAGGTCATAGAAACACCAAGTATTATCCATAGAAGCAGTCACAAAGTACTTTTGAGTAGCATGTACAGTGACAGCTTGTACCTGTTGCAAAGTATAGAATCTCAATTGCAAATCTAAGATAAAAGCCTCCTTTCTTCTCTTTGTACCTGCGTCCTTTCCATCTCTTTGTACCTGTTGACAATGACAGGCTTGCAGAAGAGAAGAGGGCATCGGTCTCGAAAGAGAAGAAATTGTGAGACCTACGATAATTTTTTTGTTTTAATGCATCGGACAGGACTGCTCGAAACGAGGGCGGTCCGCGTACTGGTTTGCTGACCAGTAAATACTGGTCAGTGCAGGCGAAATCACAGTCTATGGTAATATGATTATTTGGTTAGCGTGTAATTGTCTATGATTTTAGTAGCATGGTTGGTTAACAATCATCTCTTTCTGGCATGCCTCCTTTCTTCTTCCTACACCATCTCTTTTTCCTTCATCTTCCTTCTTCCTCCCCTCCTCTCCTTCCCCCAACAAAATGTCGATACATATCGGCATATCGAGTGTTTGTACGTAGGTATCGGCGGTATATACCAGTCTGGTCTGGGACTAGTACGGGTCCGACACAAGATTGCAAACCTTGTATACTATCATGTTGCTTCATTGGTAGACCAACCAATAAGTGCAGAATGGTCAGTTCATATTTCCACACTAAACCAGTAAGTTAACATTTCAATCAGGAAGCAACATCTACATCAATCTGGTAATCCTTGCATGCATCCCATGATCAAGAGAGTGAACTAATTAAATGAAATAAATCAGTCAAAACTTATGGTCCACTAAATAATTTTGACATTGATGACATTGAAATGTTTCAACTGGATTTCATATTCTTCAAATTATCATATCAGTCTTCTTAAAAAATAAAAGTAAAGAAACAAGATGGAGACTACAAAAGACATAGTGACTAGAATATAGAGCTATGCACATGAAGCTAAGTGAACAGAAATTAATAGCATGTTGATAAGTTCACATGGCATGGGCGGCATGGGCATACAAAAAGTTAGCGAATATAAGCTAATAAATGTACACCATGAATGAAAATATCATTCCAATCATTTTTTTCATAGCATGCCTCAAGAGCAATGTAACATGATTTCCTACAAAGTATTAGCTAATAAGAACCTTCCCCAAAAAAATATATCTAAATTCTTCTCAAGAACGTTGGCTATAAAATTTCCCAAAACTCACAAGTTAATATTCAAAATCATCAAGAATAAACATAAAATTCCATAGATAGGCACACCTCAGCAGTATGGTCCCTCATGACATGTTGGCAATCATAATTCCCGTTTTCAGTCCCTTGCCAAACACGAACAGTCTGTAGAAGATGTGAATCAGTTTAATTATTACAAAGAAAAATCAACACTGTCAAACATCTCACGAGTTTTTTTTTTTTCTGTTCAGCCTCTTCAAAAGTTCCAGAGGTAATTACAGTATCAATACTAAACTACTTCGGGCAAAGAAACTTTAGCATTAAATGCAGTTATTTGCACAATAAAAGAAAATTAAAAAGGTTGAGGCAGAGAAATGGGCCCAGGCAGCTGCAAAATAAGCATTTGTTGCATGTTTGCTTGCAAACCATATTGTGAAAGACGACAATGAAAGGCACATACATTTTATAACCAGAAAATAATTAATAGCATTTCAGAGATCAAGTTATGCAAAGAAAATGAGAACATATATCACTAATTGACTGTGACTGACCTTATCACTTGATCCAGTTACAATCAGTTCATTACCAGGCACAAATTTCACACTGGTAACCTATAGCAAGAACAAAGAAAACCAAGAAAAATGTTTTACTCAATAAAAATTGACAAAGGAAATAATAAAGAGAACTGAACAACAGAACACTTAGGAATGGTAGAAGCAAAAACCTTCTTTGAGTGGCCAGAGAGTGTAGATAACATCTGGCCTGATGCCCTATTGAAAAGTACTCCATTTGTATCAATCCCCCCCGTAGCAATTATATCCTGCTAATCATCCAGTATTGTTGAAATAAAACATGGTTTTCACTTATTTGAAAAAAGAACAATGCAGTTCTACAAACATAATTTGGCCCAATCACAAAATCAGCATTTACGAAAGAAAATTTAACCACAAAGCTGGTAAAGAAAATGTTAAATCAGTGAATTTATCAAAGAAAAACTAGTATGCTGTCAATGTTCACAATTTTTTCTCACATCATTGGTGCAGCACAGAACATAGAGTGCCATCACTTAATTAAAATAATATTAGGTATATTCATATTTCTTAAATGGAAAGAAAATATGGAATGAAATAATCCTGGGACATAGTAATCTGATATTCATGCATTAACTATTGCCAGAATAGTAATATTTAAAAGTTATGAGAACATAAGCTTCATATGGTTAATGTTCCATCTATAATGTAAAAAAATAGCTTATTTAATTTTTTAACATTTAGTATTAATACTTATCTTGTATATTTCTTTGGTAGAAAGCAAAATGGAAGATGTAAGTTTTGGGAAACCCAAACTTCATTATAACTCTTTTTTTCTTGTATCATTTTCGACATATGGAGGGCAAGCCTTGGTACGAGGATAAGGTTGCTTATTTGCGACCTACGAGACCAAGGTTCGAGTTACGAAAATAACCTCATTGATATTTAAAGGTAAAGCAGCGTACATTAACCCTCCCCAGACCCCCCATGGGCGGAAACCTCATGCACTGGGTACGCCATATTTTTCTTTTATCATTTTCACAATGTGAATATCCCACAATCCAAGAACTTGCTTAACAAAACCTAAATCCAGTGCCTTGCTTTTGGCATGACTAAGCTATCTATAAATAGTTTCCATTGTGCCATTGCAACAGCCACACAGTTCTCCAATCATCCCAAGAAGACAATCAATTAAATGGCTGCAAGCATACAAGAAACAGAACTATGCCTAGTAGTTCCGAACATTTATGGGATTTGTACAATAGCTGCTCAATTCTATTTGCAGATCACTCCCTAAAAATCCCAAACCATATAATGTATAGTCTTTTGAGTTTGTTTAACCACAACAATAAGATCTTTCCATCATGGTGACTATGATTATTAATTTATTGACAATTTTACCACTTTCTTGTTCCTTGGAGCAGAAGGAATTTTCATCATGGTAACTTTTGAAGCTCCAGAAAGTGCAAGGATGGAAAATATTTTAAATAACTATCAAGACCAGCATGGATGAGAAGCAAAGTACAGATGAAAAGAGGTATTATTTTCCTAGTAGCATTAGTTCAAGAATACACAATTAACATGGTTGCCCTGCAAATATTCAATAGTTAAATAGGTAGAATTTCTAATAAGCACTTCAAGTTAATAATCTAGGATTTAATACACAAGTACAAAAAAATTCAGAAAATATTATGCAACTCAATGATTTTTTTGGGGCTAATATCAGAAAATATGCTAATACAAATACATTGACAAACAGAAAATCATATGAGAAAATAGAAACTATAGCAGCCAAAGAACAAATTTACCTTGGAAGCATCAATATCAATAGAAAGAATGCCTGGCTTGTTGGTCTTGTGAAGGGGGTGACTAGAGATCTGAGTGTATCTCTCCAGCGCATCAACTGAAGCTAGTGTTGTTGGTATCTAAAATACAAAAAGAAGCATAAAATATATGTTCCAGACACTGCTTAAAGCTCAGTTATCACTTGTACATGCTTAGTGAATAACCCATATATAAACAAGGAATCCTTTCATCTGTCCATCTTTATCTAAATCCATCTCTTACGGTTGTTTGTGTTTCACAGTGAAAGTTTGATTTTACACAACAAAGCTGACCACATTCTTAGTGAAACAGAGGAAAAGTACCTGCCGCTTCTTCCGTTGTCCAGAAAGCAAAGCATTACAATCTGTAAGTTCTGCAATAATAACAGGATTAATACCAGGCCGAATTTTCTTCCCATCAGGACCCAAATCATCCTCTGCAGCTGCAAGCATGATGAAATCCTACAAGATGAAGTCAAATCCTTTTATATAATTAAAAAAATTCATAGTGAATTTTACAATGACTAAACCTCTTTTCCCATTGCTGACAGCAGTCGTCGCATTGGCAGCAGAAGCTGCTAACAAAGGAATCTGTCTCTCAGCTTGAGCCAAAAGCATTCTGGCTTCATCCCTTTCCTTCTTCAATCTTGCAATAACGCGGCATGCAGCATCATGCTGGAGTACAATGCAGTCAGTGCAGCAAAAATGATCTGCTTTATAGGCTGATAAAACAAGAAATATCACAGCAAAAAGCTGCCGATGGGGAAACAATTATAGGCAAATATTCAAAAAATGTGCTAATTAAAAATATCTTATGCACAACCAAGACAAATGAAGGTTTCTATAGGAAACAAGGGCCGCTAGTATGTGAATAACTTTAACCAAAGACTCAGATATTTTCTTTCAATCAGAATTTCATTGGATCAGAACAATGCAAAGAAAATTAAAATAAATTACAAGTAATTGGTGCATGAGAAGGATGATGAAAATATAGTGAATTCAATACTTAAAGATGGACATCAGGATGCAACTTAATACAAATAACATCATGCAGTTTCTGTAACATACTGCATACAACAAACACTTGACATCCGCCCCATGTTTCAAATTTAATAACATCAGGATTAATGAAGATTGACAATGATTGTTTTAAGCAACTAAAAGAAAAAAAAAGGAGGCTTGAAAATAATTCTGTGGCCAAAATCAAGTAACAACAACCACAAAAGATTTACAAAAACAAAACAACCTAGAGAAGTTATAGGATAAGGAGTCTAGAAAATCAGGCCTTGTACCAAGGGTGGAAAGTTCCCACTACTGCATCTTACACTTCATATGTCAAATGGAATTTGAGTCTCATGATTCTTGAGCAATAGTACAACATGAAAATTGATTCATCAAAATCTCAGAGAACTGTTGTATCTCCAATTAAAAGAAAGCTGCATTATAGCCTTTAAACATGCAAAGATCATGCCCAATATAGCTAGATAAGCAAGAGCCCTGCTTCCACCAAGTGATCTTTTGTGTTGGAGCCATCTGATATACAGGCTACTTCTGTTTCAAGAAAACCTTTTTCCCTTGGTTTATAAGCCTTTAATATGTCAATTTATAAGATCAAAGGTTTTCATTAACACCAAAAAAAAGAAATTTGAATCAAGTTAGAACAAATTGGAAAACAATTGATCTTGCACCAAACCTTTCCAAAGTTTGCATTTCATTTTTTCCATCTATTTTTCCTTCACTGTTGACTGTACCAACTTGCCACAAAAAGATTTGTATAGAGCCTAACATAAAGTCAGCCCAACCCCAATGTTTCACGTTAAATTTGTAAAGGAAATCCAAGAAAGATGTTGCTGGAGTTTCTAAATTAAGATTGCCAAGACAATGCTGCTAATGGGAGAGATTCTATAAGAGTACCTATGATATCGAGCATCGCCAAAATAAAGCTTAATCTACCCTCTAATAAAACATTAGACACGTTCCATCTTCACTGCTTCCTTACCTATAGTCTCATCTTCTGTTCCTCGATACATATCAGCTCAGAAAATAATGAAGCAATTTCAGTGGTGAACCAAGCATGTTTCTTTGGGACTTAATCTGCATGGCTGACAAACCACATATGTAGGTTATAGTTTCTGTATTCTCATGCTCTGAGTCAGGAATAACAATCTCTAATGAGCAGATAATAGCATAAGAAATGGTTGTGAAAACTAATAAACACAAGAACAAATAAAAAGCACACAAGGATACAACAAATGATTGGTCTCCAATAAAAACGATGTAACCTGTCCAAGAGCAAGAAATTAATAATACCTGATACAAGGCATGACTTAGCTCTTGCCTTGCTGTGTGTAATTGTTGCTCTAATGCAAAACTAGACAACATCAAAGCATCCCATTCCTACCATAGAAAAGGAAAAAATAACCAACGATTTATTTTTTTTCAAGATCAGTAAATATTTGCAGCAAGAATCATTAATGTAGGTAATACAGAAAAAAAAAAAGGTGAAACACAAACTAAATGTAGATACAATACTCATTTGTTTTTTTAATTTTCAAAAAACATTTGGCAATAAGTACTTAAAAGGGCTAATAGGCAACTTTTGCATGACGATCCAGAATTACATGATCAGGCCTTGCCACAACAATGATGTAGCCTTAAGCTTTAAATTGTCCACAAGAATCACATGATAATACTACATTCTGTAGCCTGCAAGAATTGCAATCCACAAGAATTATATGATAATACTACATTATGTAGCCTGAAGTTTTAAATTGTCCCTAGTGGAAAACAAATGAAATAACTGTCAGATGCATTTTTTTTATTTTAAAAGCAATGTCCTGAACTGAATTGACATCTTATTAATAGTGAAAAGAACTGTAAAAATTGCACAGGTAATTTTTCAGCCAGAAAATGCTAAACTCAAGTCACATAGCACTCTGGTTACACAATTACCATATATAAACCAAAACACTTTCAACAGGAAAGATAACCCAAAAACCTCCATATATTCTTTTCTAAAAAGCCAGTCAAGCCAAGCAACTCAGCTGACACTTTAAGTTCATGCTATACATGGGCAGCATCATTTTTCAATGAAAAAATTGGTAATTCGAACAGAAATTTATACAATGAAATTTCTGCATCATATATGTATAGACTTCTCCGAATAAGAAAAAGAAGGTGTTGCACCATGGATTTAGCAAGCACCAAGTTTAATTAAAAGTATAAAAGTAAACTCTCATTCTAGAAGTCAGAATATCAATAAACTCCAAAGTAGAACATCAACGATTTTGTCAATCATTACATTTAGATTATACTAAAAGTATCAAATTCTTTATGACACAATTAAACAAAAAAGATAAGCCATATTTAGACCAAAGAGTTAGGGAGATATACGTTCTGAAACATTCCTAGCAACCCAGGGATGCTTGCAGCTTGCAGAGGTCTGGGCTTCACCACCTATCATGGAAAAAGGGGATTAGAAACAAATATTGAATGTAACAACAGGGAAAAAAACAAATCTATTTGCATCACCAATATTGTAGACAACTATGTTTATACATATCCCCCACACTTGTATGAATCTACTCTACAGGTGGTTAAACAAAAGTCACATGCACATGTACTCATAAACTATTGAGCACCATCATGTATGAATTTTTCTTTGATGTATTAGGACTTTCACAACATTAAACTAGTCATGACAAACTATTTGAAAAGCTAAAATTCCTAACTATAACCAGAAGAATCCAAAAGAGGAACTGATTCCAGTTTCTGCAAGGCCAATTCCTCATAATCTAAGGTCCAAAATAGTAAACAATTGCTAAGCATTATGAAAGGTTTTTTTATCACATACAATCCTCTGATCTCCCCCAATAGAGGGAACACGTGGACACCATTCTGTACAGGTAAATCACAGATGTATAATCCTCCCGTGTACTGATGTATGTTCTTTTCCGAGTATGAAGCACTCAATTTACCCAAATAAACTGCATAAGTAGCACAAAAATGCTTACATCTATTGACATTCCACTTCGCCAAAAGTTACAAACAAAAAATTACATCCTTCGTAATTAGTTGCTCCTAGTGAAAATCCTGCTGCTACCTTCATGGTTCTCTTTCTTGTCCGAATCTATTCGCCAATTGCCCTAAGCAGTCACTATCAACGCAATAAACTGATGTAGTAATCGGAGTTGGTAACCGCACCTTATTTGTCTTCACGGGTATAAGATCGTCCATGGTGAGCTCCTCCTTAGTGATGGGGCATTTCCCATGACTCTAATAATCCATCAGATGGAAAGAAGAGCACATACTAGTCAAAGATCCAACAAGAAAAGGACATGTAATAGCTAGAAAAGAGACGTAGTGAATGACACATTATATGCAACTATTAAGCCATGCGACTTCCATGACAGGAGGGCGGCGTACCGCAATATGATGCTCAATCAATCGCCGCTCGAAGAGTAGCCCAGATTTCTTGGAGAGCACCGGATCCTCCGGCACTTCGCCGGAGACTACATTGAAGAGAGGGGAGTGATGTTAGAAACACCAAATCGAACGGGAAAAGAAAGAGAACAAACCCTAGGGTTTCCAGACGAAGGAAGGGACAGGGGCGTACTCGCACAGATCATGGCGGATTCGAGCTACGGCTTCGGGGTGGATTCGGCGGCGGGATGAAAGAGCGGTAGGGTTTTCGCAGTAGCTGTTGGAGAGAGAGAGAGGCGGGTTTATAGAAATTGCTCATGTTCCATTCGACTCGATTCGAGCCCTGCGGGTCAGATCTGAGATAACCACTGGATCCGATATCAATGATCGGACATCCGAAACCCGGAAATCGAAAGATCTACCCGTTAATCGCTTACCCCGTTTCAGATCTTAACGGGCGAGAAATGAGTCACGGGCCGACCCATTTTAGGCTCCCGGGTCAGAGATAAGCCCAAAAGCATTTGGGTTCGATGGAGGTCCAAACCGGCTCAAAAATCAAGAGGTTCATTGTCGAAATCGGATCGAATTTGAAATCAATAGCAATCACTTGATCCATCATCGAAACCCGGTAGCTACCAACTTAATTACGTTGGTCTTGTCCTGTTATGTTAGTATAATATGTGATATCTGTTGATGTACATACAATACAGGAATGCTTCATCGATGTCGATGATCTTTCTGATGCGATTTTGTGGGCAATTAATGTACCAAGCATTGCCTCTGACGGATCATTCTTTAATCATCATGCATGGATTATCCCTTTGTATTGGTTTGCCTAAAGCCAATCGATTCATTTTTCTTCCATAATTTGTTGGGGTTGATGATCGCATGATATTGAAGTTTTCTCGAATGATCATCATCCCATGCTCAAGTTAATGGAGGTGTTCTTGGGTCTAAACTCGAGTGATAAGAAACTTAAGATCAGTGTTAAAGCGAGTGAATGTTTATATCATTATTATCGTGAGGATAGTATTTATAATGTATAGTTAGAGGAAATCCTTTTTATAGTGATGATATCGGTGATTTCTCATTGCTAACTGTGTTGTCGTTTATCCAGTCGCGATTGATGGTGAATATTTCCTCCATCACCTTTGAATCGATATACGATGGTTCTTAACAAGATAGTGGTGTTAATCATTGACAAGGAGGGTGATGTTTAAATCAAGTTATGGCTCTATCCTAGTAGTCTCGAATTCACTTGGAATTCCTAAAATACTTGTCGGTTCGATAAGAATATGCTTTCTAGCTGGTTCTCATTCTAAATCCTGCATGCGACAAGCTTTCTCCTCCTCCATACATTTCAGAATGTCCTGGTGGTGTACTCGTTTGCTCTCAATTCTCTCAAATGCATCCTGTGCTCGAAAGCTATCGACCAATGGCACCAACGAGCCTCGATATCACTAGTGCACCGAGGTTGATGCAGTGCCACTAGTGGGCTGTCCTCGAGCTCTTTATACGGCTTCATCTGCCAAGAGCGGCCTTGCAATGGCGACGCAGTTCCTCGAGCATCTTACGTCTAATGAAGTGATGGGAGATGTCTTGTGGTGATCTGGTGGCTTTTCTTGTCCGGCAGAGGCCCAGCACCATGCATGGCTCGTCTTGGCGAGTTATTCTAAGTTGGTCAAGTGCCTCAACATAATATAGATCGTGAACAGAAGCGCTGATGATGCTAAGACGATTGAAATGCATTGGTTGGACGAAAAATAGATGTGCAGCTTGTGATTCTTTAGAGTCAAATCTGGTCTTTATGTTATCCTTTTCTTCTGCAGCATACTTTCTATAATATATTTGAATTCTCTGAGACATGATGATAATAATAATAACAACAACAACAACAACAACGAGGATATAGGTTTTGTGAACAGTCCTCTTGTGTTTTTCTGGGGTCATAAGTTGCAAGATGGATCTAAAGTGTGCATCACGTTGATGTCTAATGCCAGCGAAACCTTAATTTGCCAGCCTACAGCTTCTTTAGACTTGCTTAATCCAGAGCATCATTCGGCATTATCACCGAGAGTCCAATGTAGCATAATCTGCCAATCATCAGGTAGTGTCAAAGGAATCCAATCAGTTCACCGGGGGATATTGCGTCTTGTCGTTCGACCGGAATATATGTCTTGTGATAGGAACACGATCCAAGGTTCAAAGCTGTTGGATTTCATGTCCTGGGGAGGCACAACATCCAGCGTGCATGGTTCATGTGGGTGGGCAAGTTTGCCATGTCTGAGAAGGCACAAAGACAGAGGGAGGAGGGAATTATACATGGCAGTTCAGGTCTGGACAGAAGCCCGCATCATGACACAAAACAAGTGGAGGATAGTGTTGTAAGAGGAAGGGCATGGAATTCCAGTGTAGGTCTAAAGGGATGGCACACACCACGCAGGGAAGATCTCGGTGGTGGTCTCTGATCTCCCTTTTCCTTTTTTTCTTTCACTTGCTTTGAAGGCTGTCCTATCCTACAGGGTAACTAGTCCTGATGGACTTCAGATTCTGGGATAACTGGTTGTGGCCCTAAAAAGAATTGAGGCAGTGGAAGTCCTCTTTTAAGAGATTGATGGGCATTAGTTCCGCAGACGTGTGATCACTAGTCTCTGATCTTTTATTGTTTTTGGTTGCTGGAGAAGTCAGATGTCTGTCTGAGATAATCAAGTTGACATTGCATGCCATGATCTTCCTGCAAGGTGGGGGATCGCTTCAGACAACAGGAATGACATAAAATGATATTCTCCTGTAAAGGTTCCATGTGTCCCCTTATGTTTCACACTCTACGCTTCTGCTCTTGCTGAGGTATTGAAGTCCTGCATGGTAAATGCAGCAGTCATTCGATCCATACAATATTGCATGGTGGATTGGTTGGACAGGCTTCGCTGGTGCTGCTGCTGCTGCTGCTGCTTGACAAGATAAATGATGCATGATTCCTGTCTGCAAACCTGACGCGTTGGGCTCTCGTTGATTAGTGTCTTGTGTAAATTAGTCTTTAGTGGTGGCAATGGACAGAAGACAAAAAACACATATATGAGAATAACTCTCTTTCTTATGGAGAGATGTGTAGACACAAAATATTTAGAGGTGTACGTAAGAATAAAAGTAAAAATGAAAATAAAATTTAAGGATGAAGAAACTTATGTCCGAAAGCGAAAACATATTTCAGATGTCACAAACAAAAGACCATGTGTCTTCCGGTCGGCTACAGACACGAGATCATGGAAGCTCATATTCGAATGGGTGCCGAAGGAGCCTTCGCGGTGATCTCCTGCACGAGGGTGTCATGTCACCATATCGGTAAAAGTGCTTTGCATGGTTTTGCAGGGAATCCTCTAACGTGCATGTCATCTCGTCGTAGCAGTAAAAGTGTTTCCCAATTACTATGACTAATGGACTACAGCCTATAGGATCTCGAGCCTTTGTGGATCCCACGTGGTTTCCACGACCGCTTCTATTCACAAGGCAGTAGTAACGACGAGCTTCCATTTTACCAGGCCACCTGCAGGAGGGCGAAATCGTCATTTGACGCGCGAGTGAACTCCTAATACGCGGGTTACACTGTACTACAGCCTATAAGGTCTCGGCCCTTGTGGATCCCACGTGGTCTCCACCGCCGCTCCCAATCACAGGGCAGCAGTGATGGGCTTCCATTTTATTAGGTCACCCGCAAGGAGGGCAAAATCGTCATTTGGCACACAAGTGAACTCGTGATACGCGGGGGTTACACCACTGTAGCCCATAAGATCACGACCCTTTGTGGATCCCACGTGGTCTCCACCGCCACTTCCAATCACAAGGCAGTAGCGACGGGCTTCCATTTTATTACGACACCCGCAGGAGGGCAAAAGCGTCATTCGGTACACAGGTGAACTCGTAAGACGCGGGGGTTACTGCACTATAACCCATAACAGCTCGACCCTCTGTGGATCCCAGGTGGTCTCCACCGCCGCTTCCAATCACAAGGCAGTAGTGACGGGCTTTTATTTTATTAGGGCACCTGTTAGAGGGTAGAATCGTCATTTGTCACACGAGTGAACTCCTAATACACGGGTGTAGCCAAAATAGGAAAGGCACGCCGGGCGCGGAGTCAGCCAACTCATCGTCGACACGTGCACTTGTAGTGCCACGTGGCTAACAGACCATGTCTCCGTTATCCCGCGGCAGGCGGGTTCTCCCTGGCCCTCCGTTAGCCTCGCGGCGCCACCGCTGACGGCGTGTGCCCGTACAATAAACGGGGCCGTTACTTGTCCTCTCTCCGTGCTTCCCTCCCTCGTCCTCCTCCTTATTTGATCTCTTCCCCTCGCTCTATATTTAGCAACGGGAATAACCCCCACCCACTAAATTCCCACTCCCCTCGATCTATCGTCTTCCTTTTCCTACCCCTTCCCCTCTTATATATACGGACGAAGGTCCATGGTTTCGCTTAGGATTTCCCTTTTCTTCTATCCATCTTCTTTTCCCTTCTTTTTGCACTTCAATCCTTTCGAGAGACCAACATGGTTTGATCTCAGGCTAGGAGTAGGGTTCAAAGACAAGAAGAGAATAAAGCTTCTTTTATCTCTCTATATATATATTCTTCGTTGTCCTTATATATAATACAATAATAATCATAATAATAATTGCGAGAGTTGGTGGAGGAGGAGGAGGCCGGCATGCAGCAGGACGTGATCAATACAACGTCAGAGCAGCTCTCCGTTGTAAGTAACTTGTGCCTTTTGGTTTCTTGACCTGTTTCCTTCTACATGTTCGCTTGATAGTTCTTGAGAAGGTTTGACATTCTTGTCAAAGTTAAGCCCGTACAAAGGATGATGGATTGCTGTTTTTTAGATTCACCAGGGAATTACCAGAAGCTCGATCTTCATGAAAGCAACCTTGGGAGATTTTAGTTAGAATTCATCGGCATTTACCTGTTCTTATCCCCGGTTTAGGTCTCAAATCCCCAAGTGTAATCTCATATCATAACGGAGACGCTCTCTGCGTGTGGCTGTCCATAGGTAGCTGCAGCTGTTTCGTACTCCTTACGCAGCTAATTCACATTTCCAAGATGCAGGAGACTTCCATGCTTTCACAGCCTGATTGTTCTATCCAAAGCCAATCATTGCCCTTCATTTATCCAGGACAAAAATCTGCTTTCCTTGTTTCTGAGTTGTTCCCCATATGCATGACCCCCCTAATCTTTTTGGCTTATATGTCTTTCATGCGCATTCCATCGACTGTGTCAAATCCCAAACTATCAGCCCATTTTGCTGAAACTGCACTCATCACTCCACCTAATTAAATGCCAGTGACTATGTTCAGGATCTCAAGGGTAAATCAGCTGGTGACCAGCAGACTGATGCTGAAAATAGAACGAGAATCCATGACACAGCTACCGATTTGATCGTCAGCGAAGCCGCAGACAACCTTCGAACAGATCAAAGAATTAAAACAATCAATTATGATCCCAGTTGTCAAACAATTCATCAGAAATTTGGGACAACAGTTCACCTTTCATCTTAGAGGTGCTCCTTCTGCTGCTTTCCCTTCACATGACGCGCAGTAGAAGGTGCATGAGGTACGGTAAAGGAACCGTCTCCGTATTATCTTAGACGAGACCAAGAGCACTTTCATGTCGAGGAATATTTGATATTTGACTTTACTTATGTCTGCTGGCTAATTAGCTTCGATGCCCTAAAACTAAAGATGGTTCTCGATTCCTATACGTGTCAGCTTTGTAGAATGCATATCTTGCACTCTTTGGAGTTTTGCAATGCAAACAAGTGATGTTGAGGAACCGATGCACCGTTGGCTAGTGGGCCAGCATGGCCTAGTCCACGAGTCGATATCGGGAGTTTATGATCGATGGGGGTGAGGCGTCGATGTACGGCATGTCGGGATGCTAACACCGTCTGAGTGAAGGCGGCTCTCGGTCGAGATACTGGCATCGTCTTCGGGGAGGACGTCTCTCGGTCGGGGCGATCGCACTTCCGGGGACGGTCATGCTCCTACACAGAAGGCCCTCCTCGGGGGTTTCTGACTTTGGCCCCTTGATGATTAAGTTAGTGATTGGTTTCCTTTTTTCTTTTTTGCCTCCCCAGTCAAATATCGGTCATGGGCTTTTATACTACTATGCGAGGATCGGTTGTACGTGGGTTTGGCGTGACGACCGATCCCCGAGTGGCGAGGTGGTACCTTTGTGCGATCATCGTCCCGGAATGCGTAGAACGATGTCAGGCGACGTCGTCCCGAGCTTTCCGTGACTGAAAGTACCAAGAGGTTCACTTATGTCTTGGCACGTGAAAGCCCCCCCCCCTAGTCCTCGAGCTGATACGGTAGCGATACGGGTATTGACGTAGTTGGAGTCTAAAATATATCTTATCAAAATAATTTTCTATGTTAAAATCTTGACTAGATTACTATAAAACCTCATATTTATCCACCAAAAAGAAAAAGAAATAGAAGAGAAAAAAATGGTGAAAGAAAGATCTCTCAAAAATTAATGTTTGTTTTCGTTGTAGTCGCTTGGATCTTTAGACTAGTGGTCAACAGCGTCCATCTCCTCGATCAGCCTCTCGTCTCCCTCCACCTCTAAACGTCTCTACGGAAAACCAGCAGGTGGCTGAACGAGAGTTATCCTTCTGGATGGATCAGTGGAGTCACTGTTATATTTGCCACGTCCATATGGTCTTTCCATGGCCAACCCTACGACTCTCACTATGGCCATTTGCACTCCACCAGCACATGTCAACCCCCGCTACTTTTGAAGTCAACAGCATGGCGGCTTCTGGTGCCTGCCTCGTCAACACGGTTCCCTGTCCGCTCATGGCAAAGAGAGTTGCCTTCTTCCTCTCTCACCCCTTTCAACAACAACGCCATATACATAATCGATGTGTATCCTTCATTTAAGCTGCTTGGGTGACGTATTAGCAAACCTATACCTTCAACTAGTAATTAGAAACATTCTCTTACTAATGCTTATATTATACGTATCATGGTATGCAATTTCGAATAGTACCACTCGGTATGTGCGATACGTACCGATCCGATGACATACCGGTATGCGGATCATTCGCTACCGAACAAATTGTGCTACAATACTACCGTAATACACTATAACAGTGTTACAGTGCTATAGTAAAAGAAAATCGCTCGATAAACCCTGGTGTACCGTTCGATACGTCGGTACCGTATCATACCGAGCTAATCTCAAAATACTGGTACGATACGATATTGCATACGTACTACTTTATTGTTGTTGTTAACATCTTAATTCTGAATTCAAGTTTGTTCGTTCTTATGTAATTTCTAGTGGTAAATGTTAGACTAAAATTATTTAAACATGATTATTCTACTATATATTGGAAATTCTTTTCTTTGTTGATGGAAAAGACTCTTAAATGTTTATTTGCATGTGATTTATTAGAATGTTTCTTTAAGCAATAATTCATCGTCAATGGAGAAGCTTTGAAGTGTCCCTTTCTTTGCATGTTCTTTTTGTTGAGAGGCAAAAAAAAAATCTTACTGTTGTAATAGTTTCCGCACTTCTTGTAGCTCCTCCTTTTAAAATGGCCTGTTTGGAAGCAGGAGGAGGGCATCTCCAGCCCCATCGCCGCCCAAATCCTCGACTTCTGCGACGGCGACGTCGGTGGGGATCTCTTCCCACCGCCCGACATCGCCCTCCTCCGGTTCACCGACGACGTGAACGCCGAGGCGTCCGCCACCACGCCTCTCCCTTGCTACACCGACGACGCCTCCTTCTCACCCTTCCCCTCCCCCATCGACTCCGCCACCCTCTCTGCCCTCCTCGACGCCCCCAGTGCGCAGCTGCCCGACACCGAGGCTGACGTCCTCCCCGCCGACTCCTCGCCGCTGAGCCCTCCCCTGGCCATGTTCCCCGCACCGCCGTCTTACGCAGGGGAACACCACCTGGACCCCTTCGACGACCAGATATCGATGGGCGACGCGGCCACGAGCGGGTACCGACCGTACTCGCCTGACCCCGCGGCGGTCCGGGGCCCACCAAGCTGCCACCAGCAGCGTCCGACGGCAAGCGAGGAGGAATACTACGCCGCTGCGGCGGTGACGGCGATGCAGCAGACACCCGGGTTCGCGGGGATGGAGCCGTGCGTCCTCCTCGAAGGGGGCGGTGTCGGGGCGTTGTACTACCCGGGTGGAATGGCGGGCGAAGAGGGGCGGGACGGGTTCTTTTATGCGGGCGGGAGGATGGCGGCGGCGCCCGGCGCGGGCTTCGTGGGACCACCTGACGTGGCGGATTACCATAGGATGGATGGTGTTTTAGGATTGTACGCTCAGGATACCCAGCGAGCGTATAGCTCCGCCGATTTGCAGGTACCCACGTCAAACTCGATACGAGATCCTTTCCTTTTTTTTTTGAATCTCATCTCTTTCGTTATTTCTCAGCTATATTACTTTTTGATGCCATTATCTCTTGCATTGCACGCATATCAACCATGCGTATGTACAATTAGAAGGACGATTACATTACAGAGAGAGAGAGAGAGAGAGAGAGAGAGAGAAATCCATGACTAAATTCTATCAATATCATATTTTTATTATTCATACAAAAAATAATAGAAGGTGCACATATCTCAAGCCTCCCATACAAAAAATTATTCTTCACTCAAAGATGTTGAGTGAAGAACACCCTTAGTCTGCACTTGCAAATTTGTGGTTCTCGAAAGAGGACCAAGATTGATGTATTCCATATGTTTAGGTCACATTTCTGGCTCCTGTTTAAACTTTAAAGGACCCTATTCAAGATCATTTTGATATGGATGCTATAGTTACATTATTAGGTCGACACATGACTGTGACATTAATACATGAGCAACATTATTCTGGGATATGTCATAGTCTTCAATAAAGTTCTTTTTCTTTTGGGGGCATCTATAGGATTGAGATAATGTAATCTAAAAGCCCAGAACAGGAGGATTCTCTCAGTTATCATATGCAAACCAATGATTGAAAGTGAGAGCTCAAGACCATTGACTACAGAATTTTTCTGCAGCTCTTTTGACAAAACAGTCATTAGATGCTTGAACTGTTGATCCATTATCCCACGCAATCCATAAATTATAACAGATAAAACCGGGAATCAAGGCCCGCATTTTTCATCTGACCACATCACTAAAGAACAGAAGAATAGATCCGGCTTATCCAGTATCTGATGACAATTGGTCTGAACCTGGTGCTGTAGTCATGACTTTTTTTTATTTTTTTCCCCTAAAGACAGTAAATATGGATAACATACCTTGGCTTCTTTATATAAAGTTAGTATACAGTTTCATTTGCCTTATAAAGGTAATTCGAGGAGGCAGCCAACGTCTGATGGCCGGAGGCAGTGGCAAACCGATGCTTCTGCCAGCATCCGACATCCCGGTCATGGATGATACCACCTTCAAAGTAGGCCGCTTGTCCGTCGAGGAGAGGAAGGAGAAGATCCACAGATACATGAAGAAGAGAAATGAAAGAAACTTCAGCAAAAAGATCAAGGTAAAATGCATGGTTCAAAAATTAATTGAAATACAGATTAAATGATTTAACAGCTAACCACCAAAACTGATCACAATGCTTGCAGTATGCTTGTAGGAAAACTCTAGCAGACAGCCGACCAAGAGTCCGTGGACGGTTTGCTAGGAATGATGAATTTGGGGAGATAACAAAACCCAGTTCCAGCAACCATGAATTCGATGATGACGAAGAAGTAAGCACACATTTTTCCCATTTTTTATTGCTGCTCCACGTATCTATTCCTAGAAAGCTCCTCACAGCTTAGAAATCTGCATTTTCCTCATGCGCCCTTCAGAAATATTGAGATCTATCAAGAAAGATAAAAATCTGACTCAAAAGAGTAGCACAAAAGATATTGATGACCTAAGTTTTACTTGATGTGAGAACAGAATTTATCGGTCATAACGTAGACTGATCTAAGGTTAGCTTGCATGTAGAAATGAAAAAATGCTATGAGATTCATGATTAGATTTCAGAAAATCATCCAGAAATTATTATAGGTTAGCTTTACATTAAAAATGATAAATGAATAATGCTTTCATAATATGGTGGTTTACTTCTAGTAGTTTTTCCTTCACATTTACTATTAGCTCACTCACTTTACTGTCTTTAATACTGATACTTGGAACATGAAAAATTCTGAACATCAAATAGCACCATCCAGTGCATATAAAAAGGAAAACAAATTGCGAAAATAACTACCACCATAATAATCGTTTCAACTCTCAAAGTGCTTAGAAGCTTAAAAGAACATCAAGTTGCAAACAAAATAAGATTCAATTTTTAGACCCGATCAGAATTAGAAAGATCGGCTACTTTGTAAAATAGCTCCAATCTAAATTCACAGCCTGATAAATCAGAGGTAACAAGCTTCCGCAGAATGATCCATAGTAGTTCCTTCTTCGCACTGAGTGGCCATCCTTACTAATTCTAACAACATACTGCTTATTCTGTAGGTGGTTGTGAAGGAAGAAGAAGACATACTTGACTCCTTGGACATCCTTGCACATATTAGTGGTGTGAACTCCTTCAAATACAACTTCACTCTTGAGTCATGGATACGACCATGAGTCCTAGACATGATAAGTTTGACTCTTATTGGCTGTTTTCTTTTATAGCCTTCAACAGCTGATGTAGCCATTATATCCATGCAATAAAATGAATGGCATGGAAACTGATGTTACTGCCACAAAATTTCTTCCCATTTTATAATTGTTTCAACACCAAGATACATAGATAGGCATCATGATGAAAAATCATTGTGGAACTTATGTCTGCAAACTTTCAGAAATCATTCATTCCTATTAAGTCATGGTGAAACAAAACAATAAATCAGTTGATAAGTCTCTCATGAACTCAAATCAAACCATATATCCTGTTAACTTGTTAACAGGTTCCCTGATGATATTAGGGATGCTGACACCAGATTGAACTTTTGTAACCACACTATCATTAATATCTTATGCCAGGTAACAAGAAGCATGAGCGTTTAGTACCCATTTTAATCTTACAGAAATAACCTTTAGAGATAATAAATGATGTCTGATTTTATCCTTGCTTTCCAAAAAAAAAAGTTTCCCACGTACATGAGTTATATCTGTTCAAGAATAGAAGTTCTAGAACAATATTTTTCAACATCAAAGTCCAGTTTGATCGTGATGCAGGCTGAGCAAGTTATAGGAAGCTATCGAAAGAATATCCAACCACAGCATACTCAAAATGAACTTTAGTGACTTATGCCCCTTAAAAGAAACTGCAGTGACTGATGAAGTATTTTGGACCCTTAACAGCTAAGGTAGTAGAGCAGATTATCCAACAAGTCCTTTGCAGGCAATCAAATAGTCAAAAGTTTGAAAAAGGAAAAAACACATTCTAACATGTTAAAGAAGTTATTGCCGATGTTTGCTAAGAATAATTACGATGTGCAACTTGTAACAATAAATTTTTGGTACAACATGCACAAGTCAGTAGATGGTGAGAATACTCTGACTAATCAAGTGCATATTTATGAGGTTTTCAGGCCTCTATAATAGATTCAGTTCTGACATACTTTATTTCAGGAATGCCTCCGGTTCTTTAAATACCTCCTCTTTTTCTTGTGTTCTGTTTATTTTCCAGTATAAATTATGTTTTGGTTTTATGACAGTTTTGTGACTATAATCCTTCAACTTTCAATAAAAACATGCATAAGCCTGCAAGGAGACATTGACCTGTCAACACAACAAAAGCTTTTGCATCTGAAGGTACCAGACAGATAAGAACTTGGTCAACTGTAACAAGAATGAACAGACCAAATTCAGGGGAATTTTAAATGTCTGAAGGGGACACAAAGGAAGGTCTGTTCCAGTGCAACTGAATTTCTCATGAAGTAGGCAGGGAACTATTTAGCCTGGCTATAAAAGACAATCAAACGAACTACCAAAAGCAGACTAAAAAGGAATAGGAAAGACATAATTGGAAGATACAATTAAAGGACATAGTTAACTATAACCAAAGGACTTATCTGAAAACAGTATAATCTGATTAGCTAGAAAAGTCAAATAGATCATATCAATTATCTTGTTGAAATCGACATAATTGGGTAGGAAAGGCATTACTGCAAAATCAAAGGTAAAAAACACTCCTGCTGCTGTCCAAGTGAGATGAAGGCACATTAGCCTTGTCTCTTAGATGTGTCACTTGGCAATTTACCCCAAAAGGACATTCAACAGATCAAGTCCTAGAAGAAGAAAAAGGCTGGTTGTATCCAGGGTATAGGTGTTCTGGGTAGTTTATCCTGTTTCTCAATTCATACAAGTATTAGGCGACACTACTTGTCAGGAAACCATGATGGTTCTCTTGTTTTACTTGCAGATCTTGATTTCAGAAAGTTAGTTTGATCAATGATCACGATTTTCGGTTTAAATTTAAGCACAAATTGCTAAGTTGGAAGTTCCACCACTTTCCTCATCTAGAGAGCATTTTACTCAATTACTTGTGATGACTAGCTAATCCTTTGGTTGAATATTTTGAAGAAAGTCTTAATTCAAAGTTGAAATGTCTCCTTATTGGACCTAACTGAAATAAGAAAATAGCTATTTGTAATCAAATATTATACTCAAGAAACATTCACTTACATGGTAAATAGATATCCATCAATTAAGCAATCTCCCCTGCAAATGACCCCAGTGACATTGTCAATGAAAACTCACGGAAAAAGAGTTCCGTACATGATACATTTATTTTTGCAGCACATTTTCCAATCATCAGTGATGGAAACAAGAGAACGAGCCTGAGAAAAAACATAAGCATGGATTATACTTTTTCATTTTACAACAACGAGTATATTTTTAGTTCAAAACTATAGAAAACTTGACCATTATACATTAACTAAACTAAATTAACTGGATTACCTCATTTACAGGACAAGTAAAGGCAATTCAGACAAACACGAACCTGAAGCCATCTCACCTATCAGAACTCCCTCCGGCAAAGGAAATTGTTCGGCACGGAAAACTCTGGCACGTCCATGAAACCCATCAAGATCCAATCTTTTTGCAGCTCAAACGAATCCCATGACTCGACATGCCTCTCACAAATCAACACTCAAGCTGGTACTTCGTGCCCTGCTCGATCAAAAGCCAGCGTTTAATGCCTCTCCCGAATGTCGCTGCCTCAACCGGAAATCCCTGTGCATCTATGCAATCTCTGAGCACCGAATTTAATTCCAAACCCATGAATCCGTCAGGAACTTTCACAGTGTTCGTCATGATCTTGTATCCACCTTTCAGAAACCCTATCACCAGGGAACCATCAGCGACGGGCGGGGATTTCGCGTACTCGAGCAGATTGACGACGCCAAGGCAAGCCACGGCCTAACGAGGGATTTGGTGCCCTAGATTTCGCCGTTAGCGAGTTTGATCACGATGAAGAGGGGCTTGTGGGATTGTGATCGGACTAGGAAAAGGGAGGAGAAGGGTTTAAAATTTGGATCGAGGGAAGGAGAGGGGTTCGGGAAGAGAGGCTTCCGTTCTTAGCAGTCCATGGAGAATTGGCATTCGCTTCGAGGGAGACAATTGGACACAAATATACACAGATATCCTCTTAAGTCAATAATTTGTGTATTTATCTCTTTATATATATATATATATTCTGATACAAACAATATGGGCGATTTTTTTTGGAAAAAAATCTATTCTTGGGTTTTTTTTTTGCAAGATGCTTAGCTTTATAAATTTTTTATTTAGTACTCTTTTTATTGATACCCTAAATATCTGTTATCACCTCCTCCTCGTATCGTCAACCATTATCTTTTTTCATTATTACTACTTATGATTTGTTATACTCGCAAGTCATATATATTTTTACTCTTTGTTTTATCCTCTTCACTTTCACACTACCCTTTATGCCCTCGTCACTTAACTCAACTCGTTATCGGAAGGAAAGATATCAACAAAAAAACTCATATGAAGAAAAAGAAAAGATATAACTCATTTTTCCATAGGACAATATCAAATCCAATGACATATAGAGAGCAATATAAAGATCAAGAGGATTGAAGGCAACAACAAAAAAAAAAAGAGTGTGAGTGGATGACACAACGATAGCACGTGATAAGAGGTATTTAGGTCATAAAAAAAAATTAATTAAAATATTAAAAACCAAAGTATCTTTCGAAAAAAAAAAATCTAACAGAGGTTTTTCAAAAAAATCATCATAGCAATATTACCTACTAATAATTTTAATATTTACCCACTAAATTTATCTATAATATATTATTATAAAATTTTAAAAACTTAAAATAATCCAAACAATATTGCATGTACTAATAATTTTAATATTTACCCCCTAAATTTACCTATAATATAAGTTATACAATTTAAAAACACTTGTACATGTTCTCAAAGTCAACTCCTGTTAGGTACAAAGGTCACTGTTTGTGATCTGAGTCGGAGCACAGGAGGAAGGCATCATGCCCGTTGGTGGGACATCGAGTGAAACCCACACGACCAGTCATGTGGAGCTCATCGTCTTCCTCCCATGCGTCGTACTACTCCCCACTTCAACACTGACGCTTTTCTTCTTCTTCTTTTCTTAACGCTTTCATGAGCGTCAGTCGAGAAAAACTACCTCTTCGTGACGTCCAAGCAACGTCGCGAACCTTCACTCGTGCTTGCCCCTCTGTCGCACAAGGTGTTCGACGCAAGTGTTCAAACTTCGCAAGGTTGATCTCACTCTGAAGCAGGTTAGGAATCAGAGACTTTGGTGGCAAGTGAAAGGAACACTTGCTTCCCATGTCAAACACGAGCCATGTGGGCTTAGGGAAGGCAGCGCGAGTCATGTCACAGCATCCCTATGGGAAATCGCGTTCAACAACTCATTGGTTATTCAACTTCGTCCTACGGTAACGACGACGAAGTGCACATCGCTGTCAGAGTCCACCAACAGCACCAGTTGAACAAGTGCATCTGTGCGCAGTGAAACCATCCATCTGTTGGCCACTTACTGCCTCCCACCATCGCCGTGACGGACAGGCAAAAGACGTTTGAGATGGTGGTGGGCTTATTCACTATCATTATCTTTCTACATGGGGATTACTTCGTCTTAGTGTATGTCGTCTTGCTTTAGATTTGGTTCATCGACGTTGTATCATCGTATCGGGTGGAGATGTTCATGAACCGATTACCAGACGGAGCTTTGAATGCTCGCGGCGCATGAAAGTTTGACCAAGTAGGAAAGAAATAATAGAGGGATCAATAACAAGAAAAGGGAACGTCATGCGGGAATAGAGCGGTGGGTGGCGTTAGGGGAACAGAAAGCGACACGCCGTTCGCGGATGTTTGGATGTTACCGTGTTCTTCGCACTCTCCATTGACATCGATAACTCTAAACTATTCTCTTATTTTGACAATTAGAAGGCGATGAGCCTGGGACCACTCCATTGTTCTTCACACGCTTCTCTCTCTCTCTGTGCAGTGGTGAAGTACAAGAAAGAAAGAAAAGGACAGACAACTCGAGATTGTGTGTCTACCGTTCTTTTCGACGGATAAGGAAATTACAGAAAAAACTAGTTTTTGAGCAATTTAAAGAGGAAAAGATTGAATTTTGGATCACAGGTCGTCGGAGACCCGTCCGTGATTTGAACAGGGAAAAAAAGGGTTTTTTACCTTAAACTTACATCAATTGACAGACAAAGATGTCACTTCCAATCGAAGGGAAAAACACGCAAAGATACAGGTTTTTATATTTGTTTCAGCGAAAAAGATGCTTTTTTTTTTTGGATTCGAAAAAGTCTCACTCGAGCGGTTCGATCACATGGGGTGACGAGCAGACGGGGACGACGCCTCTGATTCGTTTTTCTTTTATTTCTTGGTTGCTTCCTTCTTTCGTGTTATCTTTCTTCTCCTACGCTGCTGCTGCTATTAATAATGACGGGAGTAACGGTGGTTCCGGGGGTTGCAGGTTCTTTCGGGGAAGAGCAATAGCTGCGAACGCGTTACGCATAAAAAGAAAGTAAAAGAGCTGCCTTTTTTTCTCCTCTCTGCGGCTCTTCTGGTCTTTGTTTGCCAAACCATTTCTTTGTCTCTGTTCGATACACCTCTTTTTCCAGTCTTTTTTTCTTTAGTTTGGTTCCACAACACCTCTCTTTTGTAATCTTCTCCGAGGTGAAGAAAACCACCTTTTTCTCTTCTCGTCTCCTCTTCTGCTTCTTTTCTTCCTCTTTTCTACGAGCACTCTTACAAAGAAGAATAACTTCTCTTTGGTTCTCCGGGCCTTGTTCTCTTCTTACCATGTCCGGTGAGATTTGGCACTCGAAGAAGGAGAAAGATGGTTGATTTTTCAGGAACTTCCAGTATAACTCATCAATCTTCGCATGAGAAGCAGGCAGTCGGTCCAAGTTATTCGGAGAATGAAATGCCATTAATCTCCAAGGTGAGTCTCCTGATGCCCTGTTCTTATCATTTTCTTGATATATCTGCTTGCCATAAGCCCGCTGTAAGATTGAACTGTTCAAACATTCATTCCCTTGAACATTCATGGACTTCAACAACAGCCGTGTCTTCTCTATCTGGATTTTTAGTTCAGAACGGTGCGAGTCAAAAGCATAATACTCTGTTGCTTTAATGTGTTCTTATTACCATATTGAATTCAGTTCATGTGGCCAAGACATTCACGAAGCTTATGGTGTAGGATTCAATCAACTCAAGAAGATTTAATACTATTCAGTAACACTTCCATTGGATTCTCATTTTCTATTTCCTAAATTAATTTTTTTCTCAAATTAGATTTTATTTCTTTGCTTGTGTTATTTAATAGCAAATATTAATTAGCAACTGAAATCTATTGGCAGATTTATGTGGACAAGCTAGAAATAAAAACCAAATAAAATAATTAATTATTTATTTTTTTAAAAAAATCCTCTCCAATTTAGTGGTGGGCAGACACCTCTCACCTCTCCTCCATTAACGATGGGCAAAGAGGGTCTACAAGCGAGAGAGGATCCAGAGGAAGGAAGACTGTCATCTTGGAGAGAGGTAGGTACTTAAATGGGATAGCCACATATCATAAGCTGAAGAATTACCAAATCCATGTTTTCTATTCAATCCTTCAAATTTGTTGAGCATATACTTCATTTTTATTTTTACTAGCAGAGGAAGCCAAGTTATTCTTAGTGGCTAATGATTGTATGCATGTAGCTTGAAGGAGAAGATGGAAGATGTATTCCCAGTTGGCCAAGAATCATTAGAGGATAAACACAAGAAGAATAATGCTGGGGTTGAGAACGACAACCACTACACCCTGTCGGAATGCAAATTGGACTGTGAGCATGTCACCAACAAGCTACCGTTGATTTTGGATATCAAGCAACCCAAAAGATGTCGAAGATGCTGCCAGTTGCATAAATCTTGTTCTCGCACCAATCAATTCGTCCTGTCGGATTCTTTCGATTTCTCCAGTGGAACTCATGAGGCGGACTTCGGTTTGGAGACTCTCCGTATTTTTTGCCGGAAGAGTTCCTCGTTGACTCTCCCGGGCCTCAAGTCAAACTCTAAACAGCAAAGGAAATCACGAAGCACACACAGCGTGACTGATCTCGTGGCTGAATGTTCTCCTGTAGCTCGATCAGGAAATATAGTTGTGAGTCCTTGGAACAGACGGGTATTTGATTCGATAGAAGCAACTTTGAGATCGAGAGGCCTCATGAAAAGCCCAGTAATTCTTGGAACAGCTTCACCAGATGATGACATGAAACGGGTTAGGACAAAATCAATCAGCTTAAGCGATGCGAAATCCCCCGAGTCGATATCCTTTCATTCTGGGCTTCAGAATTCAACATCGGGCAGTCCCAGAATAGTGGCCACACCTTGCAGAAGGCAAAGTTCCGAGTTAAGCATCTCCCAGGAGATGCCTTCTTCTTGCTCGGATACATCGTACCGGACCGATTCATCTGCAGGCTTCAATTCTGCACTGCTTCACTGTGTTTGGGAGGATGGAAATCCTTACTTTGTGTTCTCTGTGGGCGAGGATCAAGCTGATGTATACATGGCCAGTCCTCATAAGACCAAGTCTTCAGCTGACAGGGCCCTGGATTACATCTATCTGTTCCATGCATGCAAGAACAACAGAAAAAAATCAGAGTTCCATCTTCATAATGGCTCAATATTTGTTGCTAAGATGAAGGTGCGAAGTTCTCTAGTTCTCAATTCCAGCAGAACTAAATTTGTAGAGTCTGAGTTTGTTCTGTCTGCTGCTAAAGAGGACTCATTCAATGAAATGCAAAGATCCTCTCCTTGTTTCACCAAAAGCAAGGGGATGACCGGAAGGTTGTCTGAGATATTTAGGCGAAGTCATCGGTACAAATCCAACTCCATCAAAAGAGTTGGTGGTGGATCAAGCTGTCAGGTTGAGGACCTGCCACAAACGTATGCGAGCGAGTTAGGAATCATCGATGAAACAGGCTGCCCAAAGCTCCCATCTGATGATATTCCACACAACCTCGAGTTGGCAGCAATAGTCGTGCAAGACTTTGGGTACCAAAGCAAGCATTTAGCAAGCTTTGATGGTTGGGGCCTCAAGTTTCTTGAGAAAGCTGGAACTGATTCTTCTCAAGGTCCTCCATCTTCTTCTGCTAGATACAAGGAAAACTACACGGAACACATGAACTCAGACAGGAATGTGAGTGTTCTACTCCCAGCCGGATTTCATGGTGGTCCAATGGCCAGAGCTGGTGGCCCTTCCAGTCTCACCGAGAGATGGAGGTCCAATGGACATTGCGACTGTGGTGGATGGGATGTTGGGTGTCCTCTGACAATACTTAGCAACAACAATTCCATCTATTCAGAAGGACTAGAAGAAACAGAAGATGATTGTAAGCCTCTCCGCCTTTTCATAGAGGTGAGTTAGTAGTATGCATTCCAGAACTGCCTGCCTTATATTTGTTCACGTAGTTGTATTGGTAGAGAACTTGTCAGAACTATAGTACTTAAATAGCATCCTAGACCATCTCATGGATGTCTCCCCCAAACCCTTTTTCTTTCATGCTTTTGGACCTGATTGTGTCAAGGTGACTTGCATCTCTATCTTCTAATTTCAAAACCATCCTTCCCTTGTGTCATCATGTCATCATTTTCCTGCTCAATTCTCCCCTAGTTGTGATCTGATCATGATACTTGTCTGATGCTTCTTTCAAGTTCAGGGAATTTGTAATTGTCTGGAGAAATGCACACTTGATCTGACTGTTTGTGTTTTAGTTGACTTGGCCTCTAATGTATTGCATGTATTAAGCCATGATTTGCTTGCCTCATATCTGAATTCTGCTTTCCCCTCAACCTTGCCCAGTAATTTTGATGTTTCTGAAGTAGAGCATAAGGCAAAGGTAAATTGTTAGTGACGGGAGATAAAATGCACTTTGTCGAGCTGCAGTCAGAAAACAACAAAAAGAAAAAGGAAAAAGAAACTGAGAGATGCTTTGCTATCTACCACAGTACACTGCAAAGATACTAATATGGCATAAATTGCTGTTTCCCAGGGTGCCAAGCAAGATGGACTCACTTTCAGTTTCAGAATGTTCAGTGCGAGCAGAGACGTCTACATCGTTTACTTCCAGCCAACTCTTTCAGCTCTGCAGTCATTCTCCATAGGAGTAGCAATGATCCATTCAGAGTGCTCAGATCTGTGTCCACAATGGTGACAAGTATCATACTACGTTAACCCTCTTTTTCTTTTGTGACGTTTCCATATCCAAGTGATAATACAGATGTGTAGCATTCTTTATCCCCTTGCATTTTTCTAGACTGATGCTCTTTAGGTTCTCGTTAGTTCAATCACAATGTAGTTTGGAACAGTATCTTTTGGATAGACTTTTCGAGTCCCAAAAGCTTCTTTGATCTCCCATCACTCAGTGGGCTACTAACTTTCATCGAGAAGATTGGTGACATTCGATGACCAGAAACATTTCTTTTTGACGAACACATAAGATCCAAATGCCCAGTTCTTGCAATCGGACTATCCAAACTTGGTCATCATCATCTTTACTCCCACTATTTGTAGCAGATGAATCGCACATCAAACAGATAGAACCACAAGATGATAGCACTTCAACTAGTCCTGCGTATCTTTCTTGTTGCATCATACTTTGGACTGTGCCTCTGCACCGACTTCATAGCTTCCTACATCTTTCTTGTGTAAAGGTTAGGAACATGGATGCAATATTAACATGGCTTCCAGCTTCCGAGCGTCACAGATGACACTAATAAACACAACAATCCAGAGGACTAAGAATATTAACATCGAGAAAAGTCTCGAACGTTCTCAGAGGATGAACAGAGACTCCCAACATTGCAGCATTTAAAATTACAAACACTAGCTCACACAACCAGCGTCCAGAAGTTGTAGGAACATTATTACTAAGAAATTATTAACACACTGCTGCTCCAGAAGATGAGCCTAATATGTCTTCTCGTATGCCTCTCGCTGGCTGGCGCAGTACTCGAACAAGCTTCCATCGAAGCATCGCCTGATGGCTTCTCTTGGCAGGAAACCCTCCTCGTCTCTGGCAAGCAGGTAGAGGATTAACCATTCCAACTTCGCTGTGATCCTGCACTAAAACACATGATACAACATGAGACATGATGATGTGAATCCTCCAGCTGGAGGTTCCTATCTAAATCACAAGAGAACAGAGTCTTTTTGGAAGATGATTAGAAGATGCCTCACCCCCCAAAGATGTCATAGGTAACTCGTTGGCCTTCTGTCATTCGCCACATTTCAGCAAAAGTAAGCCGGTTGGGATCTGTCCGGGCATATTTACTGAATATATTCTCAAAATTCACGGGGACAAATCTGAAACCAACGACGTCCATTAGCAGTACATAAATATACATATACGGACTTTGTATAAGAAATTGGAATACCTTCCTTCGGCATCAAAAGTTCCCGAATCACTGCCATGCTTGCATCTATGGATGTTGTGGATGTATATCGGAAAGAAGGGAGACGGAATCCAACCCTGCCAACGGTTGACTTTTATTGTGGATGCAAACCAAATGACATTAAATAGTAGACTAATATTATCCGATGAATTTGTCTCATTAGCTTACCGGAAGAGATGGATAGCTCAGGGCTCCATTGATTAGAATTGCCATGATCAATGACAGTATAGGGTTGAAACCGATCGCTCGAGACCCTGTTTTCTTGATGTCAGTCGAGTGAAAGAAAAAGAACAGTCTACCAATTTCTTTCTATTAATCCGGCAGATCCAATCTACCACTGACCTGCCATGAAAGACTAGCTAGCACGCTCTTATATGTATCATACCTGCGTAGGTTTCCCAAGGGTACACGATCCCGTTATCATCCAAGTCGAAGAAGGCAACGTGCTGCTGAAGAACACTCAGATGATGATGCTTGTGCTCTTTTGTACCTTCAGGATGATACACGTCCGGAGCAGCTAATCCTCTCGACAGATCTGTAGTTCAAGTTTCACCCAGGCTTCATTGATGAGAAGTTCTCAAGAACACGTATTCGAAAACATACACTTACAGTAGAACACGAACACAATGTAGATACTAGATGTAACGTTAGAACTCCATGAACACAAGTTTGATGCTCTCATAGAAGTATACTTGCATGGCTTGGACAAACACTCATGTCAGTACACCTTCCTTTACCTTTTGCGAGCAATTAGCGGACTTAGCTTGGAAGGACATCATGATTCAACCGAAGCTTCCATTGCCCTTGGCATTAGGGGGCCACTTTAAACCATCGAAACTACTGCAGAAATGATGAGCTCACTCAGACGACAGACATAAAAGAGAAGCACTCACAAGGCTTAGGAAGGTGTTCCTCCAGGTCAGTCCGTATCCTCCTCTCCAGCGTCACCGGCGCCTGCGTCGCCATCGTCAACATCGCGTCCTTCGACTCCGTCATCCTCGCTCACCTCCTCCACCCCGCTCTCACGCTCACACAAAACAGGGCACAATCCCCACAATGCAATGACTCCCGTTAACCGGGAAGTACGGGCTCCTGATATAGAGAGCAAAAGAGAAAGGGTTGAAGAGAGATCAGGCATATGCGCGGACACGAGGAGAGCCCGACGCCCTCAACGTGGGCGTGTGCATGGCAGCCGTTTCCGAAGGACGGGAAGCGGTGGCGCGCCATTCCTGACAACTGCACGAACCCCGTGCGCCACCTGTCCCCGCCGCCCCTGGCACGGCAAATCGATCGGTCACATATGACGTATCTGATCATGGTGCTGATTGCCACGTGTCGGTTAGGACGGACTCGTGGCTGTGTGACAAACCCGTCTGCTGTCTCTCTGCTTCTCATTTTTCCAAGCGACTCTCCTACAGCACGTACGATGTTACAAACTCCCAGCTCCGGCGGCCGCCGCTTCCACCCTCCGCCCCTGGCAAGCTGCGTCCCGTGGTTACCGGCGAGGGACAATGTCATCGGCTTCAGCACGCATTACGGCAGGATGCTCGGCCGTCACTTATCTTGCCTCCGGTCGATATCGAGGAACGTCGAAGTGTTGGCGCGTCTGGCACGAGGTGCTGGGGAGCCCGGTCTACTTTGTTGGTGTTGGGTGGAGTCGAAGGAGGCCAAGCGAATCCTCACCGGGCGACGTCCGCCGCCGGAGCTCCCCTGTCCATTCCCCAACCATGCAGAAATAAAACTTCACCTTCCCAAAGACTGGGAGTCGACAGTTTCCTGTCTCGTTAATACGCTCGGGAGATTGATGATAATCACAGAAAATACATTCGTGCCTCGCTTGATCGCTTTCTGCAACCAGTAATTTTCTGCAAACACTTGTGATGGATTTCAACTGCGGTCTGGAACGTATGTTTGCTCATGACGAGAGATAGTGAGAGGATCCTCGTTGGATGTCCGGGGGAAACCCGTGGCGGAAACAAGAATCTCGTGCGACGAGAGCGCAGGCAGAGGCGGTGGGTGGCGCTGCCGGAAATGCACGGGCCCCTTGGATGACCGAGGGCGAGAAAGCCATCCCAATCAACGTGGCCTTCCCAACGAAGCCAACCTAACCAATCGGCGGAGCCGAGAATCGCGTGCGACGCGATCGAAAAGGAAGAGACTGTTATCACAAAAACTCATGAGTTAATTATTCTATTAATTTATTAAAAATAAAAAAAAATCATTAAACTGATACCATAATTTACGCTGCTGACTCAAATAAAATAAAATAAAACATTGTAACTATTAGTATATGCAAAATACAACAAATAAAATAAAGGAAAGAAAAATAAATAGTCGAGTTCACCATTATGTCAGCCTCTTGAGTGATGGTTGGATAAATGAATTCTGGGCCCGTGGGGTCCGCCCAGTGTGACTAAGCTCCCTCTCTGGTTCAGAATTGCGGGTAAACATCACAGGGTATAGAAGTATTATTCTATTAACTAAATCGTTTGAATCATAATTTGTTTCTTCTTTTATAACCTCGCGGTTGCTGCGCCACCCCATCTCTCTCGCCACCGGAATTCTTTGTCGCTCCCCCTTCTCCGGTGAAATCCTTCGCCTTTACGTTTACGGTGATAACGATCCCCCTCCCTTGGTCAGTTGAGGAGTTTAGATTTCGTCAGGACCCATCAGGTTTGGGCAACTGATGCTCTTTTTGTTTAGTCCCATTTGGTTGATTCGTTCGTGACTGGAAAACTCATTTCAAGTTAGTTTTTTATGGAAACTCTAGAAAACATAGCTTTAGAGATTTTTCTCCTTATCCTTTACGTGCACAAGTTGGAATTTAAGAGTAATTGTTTGGTTTTGTTTAGGTGGCATGTAAAGTTCCCTTTTTGATTTCGAGTTTTCCCATTTGGCCCTCTAATCGGTAGCGCCAAAAACTTTCTTATACGTTTTAGTGAAGTAAAAGCCTCATCTTGATTTCTTTTAAGAATGGAAAGGAATATTGATATGTATTGGAATTAGATTTCTTGTTATTGACGCTTTCACTTCATCTGGATTGAGGAGACTCTCTTCGCTTTGCGTGCAGCGAGGTAGTATTCGATATGTAAATTCGTTGATTCCTGTTCGTTAATGAAATATAGTGATATTTATATACTCCTTTTGAAGCATGTTGTCTGTGGTGTAAACCATCTTCCATTGGACGAATCTTCGTTTATTGCTAGTAATGTTTTTTGGGTGCAGTGTTGGTTGGTTTATGATTTTGCTATTATGAACTGGTGCAGCATCTTGAGCTATGCTGCACTTGTGCATGTGCACAGTTAAACAGACTTTTAGTATAGCTCCTCTGCAAAAGAAAATTTTTAGTATGTCAAGTTTTGTGGGGGTTTGCTTGCATTATCTATCCGTTCTTTTCCATTCATTGTGTTAGGATTGCTTCTACTATGTCTTGTCAACAGCAGTGCTATGCCTAATGTAATGCATGCTTTTGTTATAGTCATTCCTGTTGTTGGATAATTTTCCTATGCTTTTCTTGGAGTCTGAATTGTTAGTTGATTCTGAGATGATAATCTTATAAACATATCACCACACGTACTATATGTTTAGTAGCCTACACCATATACATTCGTCTAATTCTGATACTTCTTGTTAGGGAAGTATTTCATGTTTCCATGAAGATTCCGAAATGAAGGATAAAGGTTTGCAAGCTGTCATTGAAGATATAAGAATTATTTCAGAATGCTGTTCTTATATAAGATAGCAATTTGTCTGCAGACAATTTGTGGATGGAAAGAAACGGTAGTTATGGACTATATCTTCATCATTACCTCTTATACCAACCACCTCAGTAGAGAACTTCCCTGAGCCTCACAACAGGTCTCAGTTGAGGCCGTTAAAAAACAATCTACTGTCTCCTCAACATAGATCATTTGTTTCTGATAGTGGGATCGTTGGATCTTTGCATTCATCCTCTTGCAAGATTTCTTCAGAATATCATGGATCTTCTTTGTCACTTCAAATGAGGCATCCTCCAGTTGCTACACAATCACCAAAAGTTGGTCTCTATTCATTCATCTAAATTTTTATATACAGGAACATTTCAACCTATGACGACTAATGTTTTCGAGAGAGACTACCAAAATAAATTTGTCTCCAGATACACTTCATGATACTCTTGATTATCCAGACAATAATTTTTCTTTGAGCAATCAAATATTAGGAAATTCCACCATGGTCTCTAATGATCCTAGTAAGCAAAAGGAGTGGTGGACAGATATAATAGATGAAGATTGCAAGGAAACTGCTGTTGAATCTCAGCCAAAGGTATGCGATTTTATTTTTGTTGGAACCTTCATCAAATTGCAAAAAATTTCAATATTTTCCTTTTTCTTGTGTTTATTAATCTCCATTCATATCCAAAGCTGTACAAATTGGATGAATCTTGCTATTTGATAATGGATATTTCTTGGTCATTGTCTACAATTCTTTTGTTTAAAAAAGATGGTAGCATTTTGAGCTGCAATATGAAGGATAGTCAAGTCCTAATTTATTGTGCCACTCGACATTTATTAGGCAACCCAAATATGTTAAGTAAATGATTGATGTGGACAACCAACTAGCCTTTGGTGGGTGTCGTAGGGATGATGAAAAATATGTTTATAAAGTCATGTTAAACATAATTATGTTTCATGTCCTTTCTGCTTTTGATTTGATATTTTTAGTTGTTGTATAGGTTGTACACCCAACCTCATCCCAATCGTCATCTAGTTTATCAGTGCACCAGCCACCAATCCATCATTCTGTTCCATCCAATTCAGGAGAGGTTTGTGCTGTCACTAGTGCAGCCAAGCCACGCATGCGCTGGAATCCTGAGCTCCATGAATGCTTTGTAAATGCTGTCAATCAGCTTGGTGGTAGTGAAAGTGTGTCATTCTTTTCGTTCTTCTTTTGTCCAAAGCATGTTAGATATTGATTGACCGGTAATTGCTTTTTAACTTCAGAAGCCACTCCGAAAGGTGTACTAAAGCTCATGAAAGTTGAAGGCTTGACAATATACCATGTGAAGAGCCACCTGCAGGTTTGTGGTTTTCGTTGTTATATACCTTCAGTTTGTGTGCCATTTCTTTCTTTACTTCTAAGATTTTTTCCCCTCCTATTTCAGAAATATAGAACAACTTGGTACAGGCCAGACTCATCAGAAGGTAAATCAGTATTGGATGTGGCATTCACAACATCAAAAACAAAATGTTATACTATTATACATGTTTCTTCTTTAATCATTTGATTTTTATCATTGATAAAGCAAATGAAAACTTGAGTGATCAGCATCTTCTTCATATACAACTACCTGTCAGCAGCATTGAACCTTTTTTAACTTTCGTTACCTTTGATGAGCTTTAGTAGCATCAGCTGTATGAATAACATAGAGAATGCAATGATTGTTTTGAGACAAACAGGGCCATCCAACAAGAAGACTACTTTGAAAGAAGAATTGCCTTCTCTAGACCTCAAGACGTGAGCATTATCTCTCTCGACCTCAAGACATGAGTACTATCTTAAGAGTTAAAGCAGTAATGTTAATTCATTCTCTTTTGACAATAGTGGAACACTATGGTGTCAAGACACTGAACAACTCAAAGTCAGAACTTGGAAGTTACAGCTTTTTGTCTTCTGAGTTATGTTTAATAGGATGTACTCTGTTTGATTTGAATTTTTGATGTTACCTTTCATTTTGATGGCAGAAGTTTTGATCTCACTGAAGCTCTCCGGCTCCAGGTGGTTGTCCAAAAACAGCTTCATGAGCAACTTGAGGTACATTTTCATGGTTGACTTTTATTGCACCTTTTTCTAAGCTTGAGATAAACAGGTATACTTGAATCTAAAAGATTTTTCACTGCAAATTTGAGTTGAGTCGTGGATTTATTTTCTAGAACTCATCTCCTGTAAATCAATGTAGTTTGTGAACATCTTTCTATTGGAATTTATGATTTGTTATGGAGTTGCATTGTCAATGCAATTTTATGAAACAGCTGTATGGATTGTAAACACGAGGTTCATTTTATGAAACATAAGTAAGAGCTTTTCTGAGAAACTAAACGTAATCTTGCTCTTTCCACATTGTGTTTTCTTTCCTATCTCTGGATTAGCTGTATCCAACTACATGCAATCCATAGTATCAGCAGGACTGTGCCTTAGGGTTGATCACTTTCTCTTTTCATAAGCTATTTGTAGTTAAGGGTGGCATTTTCTGCCACTTGCGACTTTTGCATTTCCTTCAGCCATCTATCATCCATGTCATCTTGAGAGCAGGATTCTTCTCATTACTGAAGATGCAAAATCTGCAGAAAACTTGTGAAAGTTGTAAACACCATGTGAATCCTCTTAAAGTTATTAAACTTTCACGAAGACTCTTGAACGTTCGTGAACATCCTGTTTACCATATCTGACTAATTCGTCTGTAATGGATATTGATAATCAGGCAAAAAACACTTGACCAACTGTAGATGGATACACATTTTATTTTGTATGATGAATGCATACCAACTGTATATCGGGATGTTTAATATAAATTATTCCATCTCCTCCATGTTAATAATGTGCTTAGCCTCTATATATAATAAGAAACAGAGATCTATCCTCACCATGTTACTGTAGAAAACGTATAGGTGATTATGTTAAAACTCCCATTTATGTGATTCCATTTAAACTCTGGTAATGTGTGCCAAAGGACTGTCTTATCTTGGAGATATTTTCATCTTAAACAACTAACAGAGCCTTAAACCTCAACCCTTCGTAGTTGGCTGTGAGGATAGCTTTACACCATTTAGGTTTTTTTTTTTACACCATTTAGTTAGTTGTGCAACTAAAAGGTACAACTGTGTTTCCTAACATAACTTATATCCTTACATTCACAAAAGGCTCATTAGATCTTCATATGTATTCCAAGTTTTGGGGAATGCATCTACAGATCCCTGTGAAACACCACACTTCTCAGAACAAAATAAATTCTGGTGTGCACAGCAGTCACCTTTTCTGATGACAGTAAATCTCAACGATAGTATGTTTGGTTTGTTTTTCTCGGTTGTTAGACATGTGAGAACAGATTTTTTAGGTGAATTCTTACCAACAGAGATAATTTGCTATATGACTTTTACTGCAGATTCAGAGAAATCTGCAGCTGAGAATTGAAGAGCAAGGAAGATTTCTTCAGATGATTCTTGAGAAGCAATGCAAGTCGAACATTGACAAACTCCAGATTACTTCTACTGTGGAAGGACTATCAACCACAACCTCTGATATAATGCATTCAATTGACAAGTTTGAACTCCCAGAGAACGATCGATACATAGCTGGAAGTAGCAACGGCAGTGCAGAAACAAAAGAGGGCTCATGGCAAGTCAGTATCAGGCATAAGATGCCTGAAGCTGAACCTTCAGCCGAGAAAGAAGCAGATGCTGTTGATGGCTCCCATTCTTCAGCCTGCAAGCCTGCAAAAGGCCAGGTTGGGGAGACAAAAACACCACCATGAGTTCGTGACTAATTATTGTAAGATCTTTCATATGGCTTTGTTGAGTTTCATTAATCATCAGATGATCATTAACCATTGTACTGTCCTGTATTATGTTAGTATTGTGTTTAGGATCAGATAACCTAAGTCTAGGGAAGTGAGTATCATCAATCATCACTGTTGTTCATACTCATTGTACTGTCCTGGATCATGCAAGTATAGTATTCTGGAACACAACTCGGTAGAAATCTTGGCAAGCAAAGTTGGAAAAAAAAATTAAAAAAATGTGCATCGGAAGAGAATCGAACCTAGGTCTAGATGGTGACTGGGTACTAGATTAACTCTTGTATTTCTCTCTGAATCGAACCCTATTTGTTGTTGTTGATTTTCTTGTCACGGGTTGCGCTCATTGTCAGCAATCGGAGCGCCATTGTCCAACCTAGCGGTTGAAGGAGTCATAGCTATTTCCTTCTTATTGGGCCTTGGTGGTTGCATTGTCACATACGATCGTCGTACATCTGTAACATTGATGATCGTCGTACATCCGTAACATTTTCATCAATGGATTGTTCATCGCTTTTGTTTGTTTTTATTTATGTTTGTCAGCGTGTTTTGTCTTGTTTTTACTTGTTTTTATTTGAAAAATATAAGCAGAAATCGTTTGCAAGGTAGTAGAATGATTACTCACTATAATGAGCAAAATTGTTCCAAAATGGCTTAGCTTTCGTGTGCCATGACTTGGCTTTTGCGTGCCATGACCTGTTTTCTATAGGTTGCAATGTAGAGAAAAATGTTAGTCATCTTAGCATCATAGAATCTTCAAGTGGCACTTGGCTAGATGAGGCCTCTGAGAACTTACTAATAAAATAAGAGATTTTTTTATCTTAAATCTATAATTTTCTCCAAACCTCTCCAAAAGAATAATAATATTTTCTAGCATGTTTTGTATCATCTTTTTTTTTTCTTCTAATTTCTAGGTCATTAATTAGTGAAATAGCGGAGTTCTACGTTACATACATCATATAATGTAAATCAAGTATAACCCAATTATAACTTGAGTTTAACTTAAGTGTAAATATATTCAATTATTTTTAAATCTACTTAAACATTTTTAAAACTATAATAACATATTTTGTATTAATTTTTATATTTTTATTTTAAAATTAATAAATAGTGAAATAAGAGATTTTTTTATTAGTCTTGATTTTTTTTTTCGTGTTATTCAACTTAGTTATAAAGTTTTGAAGAAGATAGTATCAAAAATTAAGTTTTTTTTTAATATCTTACTTTTGTGGTCGACTGTCAATAAAAAAAGATTATACTGTTTGTAATCGAAGAGGAGATGAGATTACTGGAGAGGTGATAATGTTGTCGAGAGGAGATGAGGTTGCCATCGCTCAGTGATATTGTTGACAAAACTATAGATGATGCTATTATCGTTGACTGTCGAAGAGGATCAAAGTAAACCGTCACATATAAAAGCATATGTTACACTAACCATCGTTGTTGTGTTTGAATTAGATTGTCAAAATCAATATAAAAAAATCGAACCATTATAAGAATATTTTTAAAATTTTAATAAAGGGACGTCCTTAATAAGGAAAACAAACATGAGACGCCCTATGATAAAACCCATCATTGGAATTTTTTTTTGATAAAATGCCCATAAAAATAAGAAAAGTAAAAGTTACATAGTATAGTTTAGAGGGGATATTTTATAAGATCCAAGACCCTTCAATTGTAAGACGCCGTGGACCCCACGCCTGAGACTGGACCCCGCCAACAGCTTGTGACCCTCCACGTGCGAACTTCCCCACGCTGAAGATGGGTGTGGGAGCGTGTACCCAACGATCGGGTAGCGCTCATTATTCCTCCTCCAACGGTCACATTTCCCTTCACCCTCAAAATGAGCACATCTCTTCTCGACCGTTTTGGCTTCTCCCCCCTCCCTCTGTCTCTCTCACACTTCTCCCTCAAGCTGTGACCGACCCAAAACACAGCACAACCCAACGCCTGGATCCTCTTCTCTGCTTCCGATGAGGAAGCTCTGAGGACGTCGGATCGGATCTCCCCAGAGAAAGCATCTCGCGAGTAGGGAACAGAAGACACAGAGCTCTTCTTCTTCTTCTTCTTCTTCCTTTCCTCCTCCTAACAATGGGATGCTTTCTTGCCTGCTTTGGGGGTTCTAAGAATCGAAAGCGCCGCCGATCACCCAGGAAGTCGCTTCCACTTGAACGGGTAGGCTCGATTCGGTTCCCCGATCAATTAATCTAGGGTTTCAGGATACGATTGTTCTGTCGTTAACTGGATCTTGCGCATGCACTTGGTAGGCGCAGGAAAGGTGCAGGCCGCCGCGACGAAACGTCTCGACGAAGCAGATCACGCCGAAGTCCCTCACGCCGGATCTTTCGCCGCTGAATCCTGCAGTGGAAGACAACACTCTTCCGGAGCTGAAGTATCGCGTTCTTGCCTCCACTTAGTGTTCATTAGTTGTTCTTTTAGCCGTGATTCCGAATCCTTTGTTTCTATCGCTTTTCATGTGTTTGTTGAAATGTCGATTCGATTCCTCTGTCCTGTGGTCTCTCTGTCTTGTACTTTTTCTTGAGCATTTTGGATTTCTCTTACACTGGTTTTGGTTGCAGAGAGAATCTCGCGCAGGGGAGCTTAAGCCGCACTAGGAAGAAGGTGACGTTCAATCTCAACGTCCAAACTTATGAGGAGGTATCAGGCGATGAAGATTCAAAGTGTTTGTCGGAAGATGATGAAGGACCCGAAGCGGTAGACGAGGACGGGAAGCCACATGAAGGGCAAGATGAATTCTCTCCCAAGTTGGGAGCTTTCCCCTTAAACCATAGGTACCAGAATTGTGAGATCAGCGATGACGACGGTAGTGATTGCGGAGGAGATGAAGAGGAGGACTACTCGGATAGTGATTTTGACGAGGAAGAGGACGATGAAGTGGGTACCGAAGAGAAGGAGGAAGAGTCGTATGATTCATTCTTCTCTTTGGCAATTGATGAGGAGCCGCAACGGTTGCAGGAAGTTCGTAGCCCCGAACCCAAGTGTCCCTCTTCCCCAGGTAGGCAGCCGATCCTTTTGGCCGGAGGTGGTAACAAGCGCGATAGGAGCCAATATGTGCATCCGGTGCTGAATCCCGTGCAGAATTTAACTCAGTGGAAGGAAGTTAAGGTGCATTCGGCACGGGCGAAGAACGCAAAGGTAGAAAATGCGGGCACAGAGAAAGAGAACCAGATGATGTTCTGTTCAGAGGCAATGAACAACAAGGCTAAGAAGCCCCAAGGATCCATTGGGTTGGATCGCACCCCTAATTGCTCTACCAAACAGGAGATCTCTGTGGATGCCAGCCTTTCGAATTGGCTGTTGTCATCGGAGAATTCGACTGTGGAAGGGCCTGAGGCGAGCAATTCTCCGAGGTCTAACTCAGCATTTAGCCGAGAGGATCGGCCTATCTTAGGTGCTTTAACTGTTGAGGACCTTAAGCAAGCATCGGTTACATCTTCGCCAAGAAGGTCGCCCAGCAGGAGCACAGATGAAAAGCCGATATTGGGTACTGTGGGTAGGTACTGGAACAGTAGGAACCAGGGAGATGATTCAGCTTCTTCTCGTCAACCTAGCAGCGGACACAACGGAAGTCCAAACACCACAATCAAGTACAGAGAGGTAAATTGATTATTGCACTGCATGAAATTTACCACCTATTAGGAGGATTGTAAGCACTTCAAATATCGCTTTGGCTGTTGCAGGATAAGCCGGTGAACTGGAATTCCACTCCTTTTGAGGTGATGCTGGAAAGAGCTTTAGAAACTGGTACAGCTTGAGCATGCTGATGTTAATTTTCCTTATCGGTGAGGTGTGAGTTGAATCGGCGTGCCTTAATAACGTCTACGTTCTCTTGTGGCTATCAGATTCCAGATTTTTCCTGCTTTGTTATTATAGTCATGTCTTCTGCTTCTAGTCTCATTGATTTTTGTCATCCCATAAAACCCACTTGTATGTGTACCGGTTGATGATTTGTTAGCAGTAACAAATATTATGCTTTGTTTATGTATACGTGGACTGACTCCTGAAGAATCAATCTATAGTGATTATTGATCAGGCAAATGAATGCACTATTATGTGCAGCCTCTAATAGCATCAGAGATAAGTGATAACAAATAGTTACACTGAAAGTTAGCTAGAATCAACACATGGATAAATTAGTAGTGGCATAACAATAAATCACATGCATGGATACAAACAACAAATTCAAAGCACACCAACAATCATAGGAGATAACTCGAAAGCAGTTAGATGTTTCGTGGCAGATTGCAAGCAGCTATTGCATCCAAAAGCCAAGTGTGGGCTATTACCCGAGAGCATGTCTTAACTGCAAAAGCCTCAGCATCTTCTTTCCTCTTCCTTATGACTTCGTTGAGGTCATTTGAATCGCTTCCTTGCGGGGGCTCCACACTATAGACGATGAACGTCATTGGAACCACTTCACTCTTCTCCAAAAATCTCCCACCAGCGGCAAGAATCAGATTTTCCAGATATTTCTTGTAATTTGGCATAAAATAACCATTGAAATAAAAGGTTAACTCAGCAAACAATTTTGGCGCCTGCACAACAATCGTACATCATCAAACGGTGCAGACCAAAAACAAACAAATAGCTTCGAAAAAGAAGAAATAGTGAGGAAAGCTATTCTGTTGAATCGCATGTATGATATAAAAGATATGAGAAAAACCTTTTGCATGGCTCTCATTCGTCCATTTCTTGGTCCATCGAAGGATCCATGAATGTCATGACTGATCTCGTAAGGTTCCTCTGATACTGGATGACCAGCCTCCATGCAAGCTTTAAGCCCTGCATGTGGCAACACAAGTAGCCGAAGGTTATCGTAATGCAGTAAAGATAGGCTGATTTTGATAACATAAGTTATTATGACATAACTGAGCTATAATTTACTAGTCGAGTTCATATAAGTGACAGCTTACAGAAGATACCATCTGAAATAGGTACTTACAATCTACACGTAGAACCCATTTTCCAGCTAGGATGGCCATTAGAACTTTAAGCGTTCTACTGCAAGCACCATGCTCATCTGTGGCAGCAATTACATGCGTGATGCTCGAGTTCCAAAGACTGGTTGCAGTTACCCCAGTTAAGCTGACAAAGTCTTCCAGCACATCCTGAATACCAGTCAAGTAAATGGTTTAAGCATCAATATGAGCAAACAGTTTAAATAGAGCAGACTCTTAAGATGTGGAATGATTGAATCGAAAGAGATGTCAAAATGATCACCTTATCCTCCCTGGACAGGGCAGATCCACACAACATCCATTCTCTTGTCTCGCAAGGTGATGCAGTCCAAGCATCTCCAGGATGTTTCATGGATGAGGTCTGATCCATCCGTGGACTGGAATGACATCTAGCACCAACACCCAGCAAAATCAGGAGGAGATTAACTTATATAAAGTAGCAAGAAGAATGCATCAAATTTGAAGAAAATACACACGGTGTGTTATTGGTTGATTGCTTCTTCTTGCTACTTGATCTATCACATGGTAACTTATTTGAAGAATGGACTGGGCAAAGCAACAGAAATTTCTCCTGATGCAGGAAAGTACATAGACTATGATTGTGATTCCTCAGTTGCTTAAGGAATAAAGAAATGAAATAACAAGGGCTGTTAGATCAAGGCATAACAAAGAACGGGGAAAAGCTTACATAATCCCATCTGCACCCTGAGATGTCATTGGCACAAGGGACATGATAACTTCTTCTGCAGCTCTTTGTGTAACAACCAAGTGCTGCCCCTTTCAAACCACAGTGGCTGCATTTGATCTTTGACGCACGTGCTAGTTCTGCCTCCAAATTCATAGCAGTCTCACCAACAAAATAAACTTGTGGTGCCCTATATCAACAAAAGTTTCTATACATTAAAGTAAACTAAAAGACATCAGGAGGTATGAATAGTTTGGAATAGGTAGATTATCACCCATACGAGCAGATACTTGCCGATATAGTACAACTCCCAAATGCACATTAACATGATACAACAAAACTAAAGATAAATGAAATACAATAAAAAAAACCAGTTATAAAGATGCAATTGCAAAAATACTATAACCTAGTTGCTATCTCACATAAAATTCATCCCTAGAGAGAAAGTGCAGTATGGAAAGGAACAATCTAATAAAAGGATCAGTCAATCAATCATGACAGTAAAATGTTGTCTTACCATTCTATGCATCTTTGATGGACATGTAAGACATTAGCCTGCAAAGCTTGGTCATCTGTCATTTGCTCACCATCAAGATAGTGTAACATTGGTCCAACTGCCTGGAAATTTCCCATAACACATTTAGAGGTCCTCTAAATTCAACAAAGTTTGAATATAGTCAGCTAGGGAGGGCTCCCAGTGAATCAAAATTTATGTTACCACTTACCCATGAATAATAAATTTAGTGAAGAAAAATTTTTAGGCTTTGTTATGAACAATTGGTACTACTAAGAAGGTTTCACTATGGAGTACCTCTGTGGCTCCTGAGGTATGGCAAAATGCACAATCCACCAGCTCTTCTGTATGTAAATAATTGATGCTTAGGTTGCAATATGTAAATAAGATGACTCAAAATTATACATACAAAATTCCTTACCATTAACTTTATCTAACTTCTGCTTCTTCGATTCAATAATACAGTCATCTTCTATTTGGCAAGCTCCACTGTCCGGACCCCTCTTGGACAAAACTTTAGGGGACAATCTTTCAGTTGTCTACAAGAAAAAAAAAACAATTAATTGCATACTGAATTACATAAAAAAAAATAGTACAAGGACAGAACTACAATTTCTGTTTCTGTAAGCATTCTGTACTGTGTAGGTAACCAAGTACTTTCAGTCTAAATTATCCCCAATATCCTTTGCAAATATACATTGATAATAAGCCAACTTACTGGTTCACTTCTAGCATCATTGCTGTCATAATCTGAATCCTTCTGGTAGCCTGATGACTGAGGACTACATGGATGCCTTTCTGTAAGAAATTTATTGACTCCAGCTTCTTGTCTAACCTTTTTACTTGCATCCTTTTTGTGTTCATGAGTTTCCCCTTTATGGTTGAATTTTCCAGTACTCACTGTACCAAATAATCTTGTTCGTGACTTCACATGACCAGACCTTTTCTCATCCACATGTAACACTTCCTCTTCAAACTTCAGATTCATGTTGTTATAGCCTGAATCTGGACTTCCATCTGAATGCATCTTTATGTCTAAATAACAGTCAAAATCAGAGTCATTATTTCAGTAACCACATAATGTAATAAAAAACAAAACATACATAAAGGGCACGTTGACATCACCAGAAATATCAACTTGTGGGCCTTGTTTGAGAGCAGCATTGACGCTAGAATTCATATTTTTGCAGATACTAACAATTGCCTCAATGTGAACGGCAGATCTTAATTCTGCAACATTTGAGCAAACTTGTAAACAAAATCTGTAGCATCAACAAACTTTTCAATTGGTATCGAAGTACCTTGTTCACGAAATGCTGCTTTACAGATGGCACAATCATATGCATTTGTCACCGAAGTAGCAATACAGGCTCTGGCAACATCCAAGAAAATTAGAGCAATGCATATTAACCATTTATATTATTCAATTCATAATTGTTTGGAACCCAAACCTGCAATACATATGATTACATGGCAATAACATCGGAATTTTGAGCAATTTCAAACTGCCACAAAAGAAACAAAATGCATTAGACCACCATGAATACAGACGTCACAAGCAATTGACAATGAATATGACCTCAACATATAATTTATCAAAACCACCGAGTCAAAAAAAGTAAAACATTTGGTTAACAAGTGCATGGATCGCAATATCTAGTTGGTTTGTATAGTAAAACATTAGGGTTTTGATTGCCAAATAGGGTTGTGCAGATGCCAGCACACACAAACGACAGGCCCAAGTCGAGAGTAGAAACTTTTATGCAATCAACAAAGAAATGAGACTCAGATCCATATCGCCATATTATAATCTTGAAACCCCGGCATATTCCATCTACAAAGGATATAGAGCTCTAGGAGAACAGACAACTCTCGTCAAACGGGAAAGGAAACTTATGGCAAACAGATTAACCAAGAACTCAGCACACAGAAGTAGCTCCATAAAACGAATACAGTTTTGGAGATTTGATCCTTATACAAACGACACACCAGGAGCCAGCATCCCTCTTAAGCAACCTAAGAATCAATGTTCGGAACAAATCCTTAGACCATCGATGCGGTGGAAACTCTCATTCCTGAGAGAAACCACCTAACTTCTGATGCGTATAGAATCTAAAGAACGATTAAGAGAAACAAAACCAATTACCAAATGGCGCACGTCAACTCCAACTCCATCTTCTGAAGATTGAGAAGCAAAGGATTCACGAACCGCCTGAAACCCTCTGAATCCCCCATTCTGCTCTCTCTCTCTCTCTATCTATCTATCTATATATCTGGTTGGAGATGTAGGAGGATGAACCGAAAACTCTCTATGGTGGGGGATTTGGAAGGAAAAGGACCGACTTCGGACCATATACCCTGGACGCGAGGGGCGGGATAGCTCCCAAATAGCGCATCGGGATCGGCATACGGACGCGTGGATGGTGGGGATCTTCGCTGGGCCTTCCATCGGAAGGGAAGCGCGCGGGACTTTTGATTCCGGTACGGGGGCGCGCGCGGGATCGTTTATTTGGCGCAACGAATTGGAAGTTCTGGTCAAGATTTTAAGAGGAGAGTCAATGGAGAGGTTCGGGCTACATCATGTTCTGGTCCCAACTCGGCCCATCCTGTCTCGTTGGACCTATTGGGCTCACCTAGGACTAACCCAAGACTCGTATCTAAATTCGGGATCAGCCAGCTTCACCTCAAATATCAAATAAAATATATAAATTCTGATGTCTTCCTGTCATAATATATTATTTCAGAAAATATAAATATCTTATAATATATATATATATATGATAAAAATAGGCCCTTAAGCAACCCAATGACATGTTATTATTGTGTCATCTACCCTACAATAATAATAAAAACGGACTCATCCACGTTGGATATGCTCCAACGGTAGTTATAAATGTGGATCCTCACCTCAGTCATGGTAGTAAGATGCTTAAATGGTAACAAACTATAACAAGTAGCAAAATATCACAGTATGGTATGAAGCAAAATTTTGAATCTCGACCAGGAATCAATTTCCATGGATATACCCACTCGATAATTAATGAAAAATATTTTAAAAACAAATATCACAATATTGAATGAAGCCAGACAACAAAAAGTTTTCAGGAACAGTTAACCAACGAATCATTATAATCTACTATTTTTCTGTGTCATCATTGGATCACAAAAAATCATGCCATATGATAGCAAAAATAAAGTGCCATAGTTTCACATCTCCTATGGGAATAAGAACGCTCAAACGAGAAGCAGAATCACTGTTGGAAGGAGGACGTGCAGCTTCTATCTTGCTTATATAAATTGCTGAAGGATGAGAAGATAGGAATACTCTCTCTCTCTCTCTCTCTCTCTCTCTCTCTCTCTCTCTCTCTCTATATATATATATATATATATATATATATATATATATATATCATTCAGTGGTAGACATTCTGGCTGTGCAATAGTTCGACAGCTGCAGCAACAACATCAATACCCTCCGAATGGACATCAAGCGCTGGCTCCTCAATTTTCCTCTGCAACAGTTTGTCAAGTTCTCCTCTCAATCTCTGTCAAAATTCAGTGATTAATATGCAATTTGAGCAGCCTAACTTGTAAGAATCATGACATATGTATTTACAAGGCACAATAATCCAACATATATGATCAGCAACTCATTGTTTCTTTATCCCGTTAATCTCATTCAAAATCACAGCAGGTCTTACATTGTTCCTACTAGTTCAGCAAAGCATCATATTCCAAGATTGGTGTGCTTTTTATTAAAAAAAGAATAATATGCTTTGAATTTGCTCACCTGATGCTTCAATCAATAAGCTTTTTTTCCTGAGTAAGATCTTTATTTTTTGATGGGAAAGCAAACCGAAATAGACTAAATCAGCATTAACTCAATAAATATATCACAGGTCCCCCTGTTGGCATATGCCTCGTGGGATGGTACCCTAACCACTATCAAGCATTTAAATTAGACTTAAAAACAAGGTCATATATATATATATATATATATATATATATATATATATATATATATATATATATATATTCAGATGTATTCTTCTTGTACATTATTTCGATTAGGAGGCTTTCCTTACCTGAATAAGATGTAGTGTACTCTTTGGTGCCGAAAAGTGAAGGTATCCACCCAGCATCTCGATGCCCTCTCCAGATTTACTTGGCATGAGGCTGCCTCCAAACAAGAGCAAAGCATAGTCTGAAATATTTGTCGAATCCCTGATATATATACTTGAGGTTTTCACTTTGTCGCTGTAAATCATGTAAGGCAAAGGGAATAGATGGACCCCTGCATTAACAGAGGAAGGATGAATATCAACTTTCCCAACATCTTTGCTGTAAAATGCTGTCCTCTTCCCTCTCCTTTTGCATTGGATAACATTAGGGTAAAGCCCAGCACACAGAACGGCACATATCATTTCCATATCATCTCCATAGTGGTTATATGCCTGCAATCAAACATACAAGAACATCATATGCATACAACACCATATTCAGAAGGATGCATATATAGTGATTAGAAGTGCCAAGACACCAACAGACACTCATTTAGAAGATCCTAAAAGCAACAACAATAGAGTGGTCACAGCTATTTGGTATTTAGCCACATGTCTTGTTCTCAAATGTCTTTCAGGAGCCTTTGCCAGCAATTGACAATTATGTACCATTATCAAAATAGGATAATATTATGAGCTTTCCTTTGTTTCGAAGTAGCACAACATGAATAATTCTCTGAATATAACCATGATAAAGCAAATTCAAAGATACATATACATTGAGAAGTGCATACCAAATAAAATCTTTTTCTGTCAAGGGAACATTTTATTTAGAAAGGGTTTTTTGCTGGAGTACCATCCTAAAAACCCATCTTAGTCTGGATACCCCTGCAATTGTTCCAATTGCCCCTGCACCCCTGTAAATTACAAGAGGTACCCCAAGATGATCACTTAAGGTAGTCCCTGTTCACACTGGTTGCTGGTGCTCTCTCTCTCTCTCTCTCTGGTAAGTCCTACTGGCCGCCATGGCAATCTCTCTTTCTCCATTTCACATTCTCGCTTTGCTGTTTATCTCTCTTGATTTTACTATCAGTCTCGGTCTCTCTTCTGATTTGGCTCTTGATCTCTGTAAAACCTTGAGAAGTGCATACCAAATAAAACCTTTTCCATCAAGGGAACATTTATTTAGAAATGGTTTTCTGCTGGAGTACCATCCTAAAAACCCATCCTAGTCTGGATACCCCTGCAATTGTTCCAATTGCCCCTGCACCCCTGTAAACTACAAGAGGTACCCCAAGATGATCACTTGAGGCAGTCCCTGTTCACGCTGGTTGCTGGTGCTCTCTCTCTCTGGTAAGTTCTACTGATCACCATGGCAATCTCTCTTTCTCCAATTTCACATTCTCTCTTTTGCTGTTGATCTCTCTTGATCTTGCTATCAGTCACGGTCTCTCTTCTGATTTGGCTCTTGATCTCTGACTCGAAGTGTCCATCATCTGTCTCAGTGTCTCTAGCCATCCTGAACTTCTAGTTGCTTTGTCATTGTCCAACAATCTCCATCTCCAATCAATATCTCTAAACATCTTCTAAGCATCTCTCAAATATAGGCAGCTAAGTCTTTTTCATGTGAGCCATTCGACCATGCAAGCAGTTTGAAGATTTATAAGTATCAAATGTGTCGGGACTGTTTCATATTAGAAGTTTAGCTAGCATAGCTCGAGGATAGTTGCCAGGAATTCTGTTTCCCACTAAACTTTGTATTACCTGGAATTCATGTCGGAAATATCATTCAATTATTTTCACAAGGCTTTTGGGAAACCTAAACCTTGTCAATCCAACACATAACATCATTTCTATAATTATCAGGAAATTCACAAGTAACATGCACAGTTAATATAGTTAAATGCACCCCCTTGTTTTATTACATAAATCAGTTTGCTAATTGATCAATATAGGGGGAGTAAATGATCAAATAGAAGTATGAATGATACCAAGTGAAAAATCTTAATCCATGGTGTATACTTTATAGTTTTCTATGCATTTCTGTAAAATAGAAATGCATTTACATGATCAAATAAAAGTACAGTATGCACCTTATCTTCTTATACATCTCTTTCCTATTCCAGCTTTAAACAATTTTTAAGAATCCACAACGATAACTAGCTTCAGAGTAACGAATCCAAGGGTCACAAAAGTCAGCAGATCCAAAGTAAAAAAGTTTGTAAAAATATCAAAGTTCTCTCATGAATATCTATCCCAAAAAAAGAAGATACTGTAAAGTGGAACCATATGGACACGAGCATGAGCCCAGAATACAAACCTTGGCACCTTTAGCCTTGTTCACAAAACCTATGTCAGATAATAGATCCAAGAACTGGTTTCTCATGTCGTCCATCATTTGCAAGGTTATGGGGGACAAGAAATTCTCCCAACAGAAAGCTCGTTCTCTTCCACTGCGTTTAGCACCCTTCCATGCTTCAAAAGCTTTTAAAAGAGCTATGTGATCACTGCAAAAAGTTCAGGACTCCATCAAACTTGTGCATAAGGCACTTGGCTATTTCATTGATCAGGGCTAAGAACATAAAATGCCAGTAACTTCCTATACTATAGTGCTAATAAGATAAAATCCCCTGTGAAGCATTAAAATGATTACAAAACAAGATGAGCAATGTTAGTTATTCTTAAAAACTCAATAAAGTTGAGCACTGCAGGATTTTCGGAACACAATGTAACACAGAGTAGCAGGGTTTTTCCTCCAAAAATAAGGGCAGCGACTATTGAATTTCTGTGACAGATAATTTTGTATACTATGAACCTAACAAGATCAATCAAGTAAGGCGAGCAATGGGTAATCCTACCTGCAAGAGTCACCAGCAAAGGATCTTTTTACAGCATCAGCTTCTTCTTTTCTATTTATTGGTAGAACAAATGGGTCACGATGTGCAAGAGCAGCAGCAATTGTCAGTGCTGGATCTAGGCACTGGAATATAGACCCCATAAGCAGCATCTTTCCAATATTTGGATCCAAAGGAAGCATGCACAGATGGCGTCCTGTATCAGTTAAAATACATTTAAGAACACTAGTGAGGAACAAAATGTGCTTCAGTGGAGAACTTCAATTAATTACATCGCACCATGACACACCTAATGCAGTAAGCTCCTCGGTGTCATCTAGCGCTCCAATAGTTTTCAAAATTTCAATTGCATTTTTAACAGAGAGCGGATCAGGAGGCTGAAGTGCCTTGGCCAAGAATGTTGCAATTGCTCCAAGCTGTAAGCTTTTAATATTAAGGCATAGTTCTTGTAAAGGGGTTCGAAGAATTTCAGGTAATTGATACTGGGGCATAGCATCATGAAGAATTTTTGGGTACAACCTATAACACACCCCAGGTTGAACTCGACCTGCACGTCCCCTTCTCTGTGCATATACTCTGACAATCAGTTGTTACATTGAATCTATAATATTTATCCAACTTCAAAGTTTAATTGATTTACCTGATGTGCTGAAGCCTTTGATATCCATGACGGTAACAGGCAAGCCAGTTTATTGAGAGCATCATAACTTGTTTCTTTTGCTTTTCCACAATCAATGACATAAACAACATCATCTATTGTAATGCTACTTTCTGCAATATTTGTCGCTAGAACAATCTTCCTGAAATATCAACAGAATTTCATACATGTTCAGATGCCAAAATCCTGTACATCTCTTCACAAAGAGAAGTGTTTGGAATCCTTAAAAACGAGGCCTCCTAGGCTTTAATGGCCGCTATCAGCACTTTAACAAAGTGTAAAAAGAAAAAGCATAATGCTACAAATGCACACTACACACACAACCTCTAGCATCACAGTTTAAAAAAAAATACAAGTTATTTTCTGTTCTCGACATGCAGGCAAACAATTTTCCCGTGTATCTACCTCTCCTAGTATTTACCATTATTAGGAAAAAAAACTCAAACTCAAGTTTGCTCATTCAAAAATCTGGCTGTCATGACACAAAGTTGAATGAACTTCAAATCTAAAAACAAATAATTCGAGTGTATAAAAACACAAAGATGCTACCTTCCACAATCTCACATTCAAAAGCAAAATTCCTCAATTTAGATTGATGATCTATAGATGGATATCCATATAGGATTCCAGTGTCTCACCTTATTTCAGCATGAAAAATCAAGGTTCACAATTTCATGTACCATACCAGTGCACCAAGTATTCGTACAACAGCACATATTGAGTTTTGTAAAATCCTAAAAAATAAAAAATTAAAGAAATTGCTTGCTACAGGACCTGTACCACCCTATACCAATTGGTATGGGCCCTATACTGGGCACACTACTCAGTTTACCCTAGTCCACGTACTGATAGATTGTCAGACCGATAAATACCTCCCGCACCATACATAGTAGCTGTCTCCATTCATTTAACAGAAACATCAAAGCCTATTTAAAAGCCTTAGACATAGTAGCTATCTCCCTTCATAACAATGGTATCATTTTATACAGAAAATAACATCACTTTTGCATCCGATTTGTTTACTGTGACAAACTTGCAGATATAAGCAGTACAGATAAGTTACAAAAACAACTTTGGAAAGCCTACCAAAAAACATAAAACTTGGTGAACCGAGTTATGTGTGATATCATGCAAGCGTAACATTACTGACAATGAATAATAACATAATTCTCAATGCAGCAGCTGAGCTAGTTCTTTTCAAAGTTTTACCAAGAGAACTTGCCTCATATTACTTGGAGGTCTGTCAAAAATTTCACGTTGATTGACAGTGGGCATTGAACCATGCAAAGGAAGAACAAGAAACTTGCTAGAATTCCCAAGATAAGTGTTCCCTTTAATTTTTTCAAGCAGCTTAGATATCTCATCCCAACCCGTAAGGAATACAAGGATAGCTCCATCCCCTTCATGGCAGCAAATATGTTCGATAGTTGCTTCCACCTAAAAGTTAAGACAAAAGATACATAATAAATAGCTATTGCAGATGAACGCACCTCTATAGAATAAAGGTGCTTTTGTGGTACAGAACTGAAATGGATAGAGTAATTCCAGCTAATGAACATATTTGTTTGTCTGATCATCAGAGGCATCTGTTCATGACTTGCATTTGAAAATATATACATATAATTATAAAATATGTTCGATAGTTGCTTCCACCTAAAAGTTAAGACAAAAGATACATAATAAATAGCTATTGCAGATGAACACACCTCTATAGAATAAAGATACTTTTGTGGTACAGACAACTGAAATGGATAGAGTAATTCCAGCTACTGAACATATTAGTTTGCCTGATCATCAGAGGCATCTGTACATGACTTGCATTTGAAAACAAGGTAGACAATACCGAATGATACCGTCCGGTATGGGCGGTACATACCGGTCCGATGACATACCGGTACGTAGATCGCCCGCTACC